TTTTTCCCCCTTGCTTCGATGTCTCATGCTATACATTTGCATTAATATTTTCTTTTTTGAAATTAAAGCAATAACAGGTTGCTTTGATCCAATGTATAGTCGTTCAATGATTTCATGAAACGTCAACAGATATATTTATAGGAAATATGCCAATTAAATATTCAATGAAAACTATTTAGTTACATATATATATTATTGGAATCAAGCGTTGTGAGAAAAATTAAAGTACGAATTAAAAAGCAAATAATAATTATTTTTCTAATGCATATTTTACAAGATATTCAACGCCATTAAACTTGAATATTTTCTAGAAAAAATTAAAATTTCAATTTCTTATGACAGAAAAGTAGACAAATAAATTAATTTTGAGCTTCTTGAAAATTTCTAAGTTTTTCTGAATTTTAATTGTTTCTGTAACGTGTATACAAATAACAGTCATAATTTAAATGATGATTCAAGTCTATATGAGAGTCTTCTATACACCGAAATAACTGTTTCTGTAAACAAATCGATGTTTTTCAAGTTAAAATCGTGATGACACTGAGTCATAGGTTATGAAGTCGAATTCTTCAACGCGTCGTATCCTCTCTTCACTAGTACACACATCAGATCGCAATTGACAGACATCACAAGTTAAGTTGACTAGAAAAGCAACATAAATATGACACTGTTTGGGTAGAAACTTGACTTTTATCCAATATTCGACTCAATATCTTATAAATGTCAAGATAATATCATCAAAACAAAAATGTCAAGATAATATCATCAAAACAAAAATGACTGTTTCATGATATATTTAAGATAGTTATTAGAGCTTAGAGTTCAGCATACGATTTTCAGAAACGGAAACGAGTCAATATTTTATTTTATTTTCGGGAAAAGATAGACTTTGATTAAAAGACGAATGATTGTTCGATTTTATTTTAGAAAAAAGTCCCTTTAAATTGCATATTAATGTTGTAGTAAACCATCCATTTTTGTCTGTAACACAGCGATGGATGCTTCTACGAATATTCTGTGCTGATATGTGATCATATCAAATGAATATTGATTGTTGAATGATATACTGTTGTTTAACTCTTCATCGTAAAAGAACTAAACATTCTACATGTTGTTTTGTATTAAATCTTCATCATAATGACGAAAGTCTTCATGAAAACTTCTAAATTCTTATTGTGAACAGTAACTATCGATCGCAACAAACGAATATCGATATCTTAGATCAATGTTTTCAATCGTTATGGCGTGTAAAATAATATTTCTTTAAGTAGGTGAGTTATTATTTATTCCTGAAATACACTATCCAGTTGTTAGCCCACAAAAAGTGTATCTATAAGAAACAATTTTAAATAAATCGGATATTTGCATGTTTTAATTGAATTTTAAATCATCATTTAGCGACAAAATTAAGTAAGATGTGTGTCACACGAATTCGATTTCACTGAAATCTGCACATATCGGGAAAAAGTACCCATACAACGACAATAGTAGTTATTTGATTGAATTCATTATCTCTAACCTATCAAGAATGAGCCAGTTCATATTTTATTTCCACTTTTGTATTTTGTTCTTATTCGAAGCCATTGAAGTACCGTCGAACATTCAAGGCATTATCGTCATAAATACCAGTGATTATGAAAGAATCAATATTTTAAATATTTAAAAAAATTTTTTTTTAAAATTTCTTTTCACTTTCTTTGGTAGGCTACTGATTTCTAATCTGAAAAGTAATATGCCAACTATCCTACATGCGTCACTATAGCAAGATAAAACATTTAATCTTATAGACGTGCCTTTGCGTTTGAGTCCACATGCTTCTTTTCTGTCTCCCCAGAATCACGTTAGAATGTTTTGTTATGAATTTATTCCGAACTTAAAAACGTATGATACTCATTTGAAATCTAGAAAATCTGCTTGGATGATTTTCTTCAAAAAAGAAAAACTTTTATTTCGTATTTCATTACTTGTGTGTGGTCATGATTAAGACATATTTATTCCTTTGCCACACAATTTGCTAGTAAAATATTTATTTTTCGATATTTTTCAAATCGCTTGCAAATGTTCATAGGCTTTGTTTTCAAAATTCTTGAATAGATTGAAGTTACAGGGGGTAAATCGAAAATGTTTCATAGCGACCTATCAAAGGTGTTCAACAAAATTTTCTTCTTCAAAGTCTGCAAGCTGTTATTCAATTTTTTAATCGATGTATTTTATCCATTAGCCGTGCATTCATAGTGTGAAATTTGCAAGTGAAGTTTTTCATGTGTAAGCTAAGGTATATTTGAAACATGAATAATTATTTGCATCCATTTTTTTACGTCAGAATAGAATGAATCATGATCTGATCAGTGGTGCTCGTTTTTCGAATTGTGGAAAATATGTGTTCGGTGGTCATCATCTCTTCAGCAAAAGTCATTGTAGACAAGTAAGACTTTTGGGCAATAAAGCATATTAAAATAAATGTGGAAACTTCGGATTTCATCCGAAAGTTATGTGTACTGCAAAAAGTGCATGGGATGTATGAGTCATTCTAGAATGTCTGAACACCAAAATTATCATGAGAAACTAGGCAATTTGATTTCTGGATGCAGTTTTTGTGCATTTTGAGACGTTTTTCAGGCGATGTTTCATCAGAAAGCTACGGTTTAGTTCAAAACTAATATCAGATTCGGAATCAGCGTTAAAAACTGAGTCGATTTATATATGTTGTGAATAATTCTGAGAAAGATTTATTTTTTGAAAAAAATTCCCTGTACTCCTCCTCAGGGATGGCCTGGTCAAAAATGACAATTTTTTCGATAACTCAACCATTTCTTGAGGGATTCTTCTCATCTTCGAACTCGACCGAGATATTCATGAGATTGAACTGTGTGGAAAATTTCATCACGGTCTGACTCTCCTTTCGCAAGTTATCGTGCCTACGGCCGGCCGGACACACTGACCGATTCTTGAGTGTACTCACTTTTTGAGTACACAAAAAGATGAGTATTTTACACCATAGATTTGTTATGAGATTGAAAAAGTGACAGAAATCGTGAATGCAAGGCAAGTCAAGAGAGAATAACATTATCCAATAAGATTAGATAGAATCTCATTCGACTATTATTAGCCATTTGAAGTCGATAGAAATTTTCTAGCACTTGATGCATACACTATTATTAGGTATGATGCTACTTAAATTGACAGAATAGTTCTGACCGTGAGAAGAAAAAGGAATAGGTAAATGGACATCAGTTATGATGAGAAATAAAACGAAAAAATGATTTGTAATATCAACGGGAATGAGCTGTAAATCCACTAAATATGGCGCCATCGTTGTATTTCCATCCGAATTGCATTTTGAAAAACACTGTGTATTACATATCTCTTTAGTGTCGTATACATCTGTTTGACAATATATTCGTTTTTGTCAATCGTTCTATAGTTCAAAGATTCACGTAGGGAACCTCAAACATCCTTTGAAAAAGCTCAAATTGAATGGAATAAACCGTAACGATTTTGTTTTCTGTTTTAGCTTCATCATTACGATGGTAATAAGGTCGGTTCTTCCCCATCACTATCATTACTTAATTTATGTTTAATGAAACTTAAACATCGGAATGAAGCATCTGGCCCGCTTAATAAGCTATTTTTCCAGGATAAACCCATATCTAAAACTTTGTCATTTGATTTACCAAACGAACCTACTGAGTTTACAAATGTATGCATTGAACAAGCGCTTCGGGATAAATGTTCACATGTAGCTATCGATATAAATCAACAGAAACTGATTGGTGTTTCAATAAATGTAATTGAAAATGTGAATGAGCAAAAAAATGTATTTGATGGCCCACAATTTAAGTCAGGAAAATTACGTTATGTTATGAAAGTATTCGCAGATGCACATGACCAAGTCGATCTATTTAAAACATTTCATACAGATTGTCTCTTACATTTATTGATAGTAGTAGTAGATGAAAATTATCGTGGTTTAAACTTAACAGGCTGATTAATGGATTTGAGTGTAGAACTCGCAAAAATGCATGCCATCAAGGCAGCATTTGATGAAGCGACTGAATTTTATTCTACTAAATCGATGCTAAAGCAGTGCTTTGAATTATATAACGAGTTGATTTACGTCAAATATGATCAGAAATGTCTATCGAATCTTGGTATTCATGATCGTTGCTCGTTGATTGCAAAATCATTATAAAGTTTTCTACTGTGAAAGAAGACAATTCAAATGGATATATGAAATATATATATATATATTCAATGACTTTGGCTCTTTAATTTTGATTCTTAATAAAATTTTCGAGTTTTAATTGCTTGTGATATTGTTACAGTAGAACTCGTAGGATTCGTATGCTTTTTTTTTACGATACACATCAATACTGATCAATGATCATCCTTCACAACAATACAGCTATATCGAAGCATAAACTTCACATAATGTCTTTAGGGAATTAAAGAGTAGCCATGACTAATGTAAAAGTCGATTCAACTATCATAGAGTGAAAAATGAATCATGTATGTCTATTGCATCGCCGAAGCCATGTTGATCGGTAAGCAAATTATTTCACTTGTTTTATAATCAAATCTTTCAACTTTAGAGTTCAAAGAGACTCAAAGTTGAGAACCGCAACCGCTTGTTCAACATTTTACAAATGCCATGAAGAGAAATTATCAATTAGTTTGCAATGATGTATCAGAGAGTTTATTTTAGTTGTTAAAGAAAGTATGTCAATATTTAATCAGCGAGCAGCTGTAACTTTTAATTATATCTGAAATGAGCTATCAGTTTTTTTTCTATGTATAAATAATTCATCCAAAGTAAATACAATTTTAGTTGTCCTGTCACTTTCAAATAAAATAAGTGTGAAAGTGACACACAACTTTTTGTATTCATTAAAATAATCATAGGAATCTGAAGCCTAACTGCGAATAGTCTGACAGAGAGAGATATTAATCCAATGCCGAAGAGTACGCACGAATCGTCTACTATCATAACAAGCTTTGAATTCCAATAACTGTTCATTAGTGTGGACATTCTGAATTTTCCATCAATTGTCTCTATCTATACATCCTCGATGGCTTCTGTCAATAATGCCGTTATCGATAGTATTTTAAAATTCAGCTACTTATTTTTAGAATCATTTATTTTAGAATAATCACTTATTTGTCTTTTAAATAGTTAATAGAATATTTCTTTTTGTTCGTATTACTTCTCGTAATTTTGTTTTTCCTTTTTCTGATAAATTGCAATTGCATAAATGAAGTTTTTTCAACGATCGATTTTCTAGAAGCATATCAATAAAATAGTCAATACTTGAATCAGTCATGAGATTATTTCCTGAAAGATATAAATGTTCCAAAGTTGTATTATAATAAGTAAGAACATGAGTTAAATATTTTATTCCATGATTATCAATTTTATTTCCATATAAACTAAGTGTTGTTAATGTTCTATTTGTATTTAACATTTCAGCTAAATATTGTGCACCTGTACTAGTTATTTCATTTCGTGCAAGATGAAGTTCTTTTAATGTTGAATTATTAATTAATAGCACTTGTGCTAAAAAATAGACACCTTGATCACGTATACTATTATCATTTAAATTTAATTTTTTTAATCTTTTATTATTATATAAGCTATTCGAGAGAACTAAAGCACCATGAGAATTCATTTTTGCATTATATAACCAAAGTTCTGTACATTTTTTATTGATAATTGCTTGTTGAACTATAGTATTCATATCATCAGCTGATACTTGTTCAAGTCTAAATTGTATATTTGAATTTTCTGGATACTTAGCAATCATTTTTTCCAGTTTTTCATTATGTTGATGGTCATTTTCTATCGACAATTGTGTTGTACCAAATGGTGGGGTCGCAAATGGCATACGATAATCAGCAGTTACATCCTAATTATAGTTATTTTTCAAAAATAAAAAATAAATTCTTTTATTCGTAGTTAATTTACCGGCGATTGTTCAGATAGAAAAGACACTGACTGAATTTGTGTTAACGTTGATTGAACTTCTTTCAAGTGAATCCAATAAAGATTATTATGGTTTTGTTTCAAACATTTTATCACTTTAAATTGAGTAGCTGCTGGAAGAAGCATCATATCTTTTGATGGATTAAATAAATGTTTACTAATATCTTTACTTGAATTACATTCAATCGTAAATATTGTTCGTGGACCTTTTCTACCCAAATATTTTTCTGAATGTAATATATCAATTGAATTCGTGCATAACGCGAAATCATACCATACAATAGTTTTGTCTTTTGGATATAATTCACTAACATCTAATTTAATACCTCGAAAAACTCTCCGATGTGCTGATGGCAAACGGTCGAGTGCTCTCAACAACAGTTTCAAATAGAGAAACCATGGTTTCAGTTTTTGTCGATCTGCTGAACATAATGTTGCATTTAATAGAACAGAAAGACATTGATCAAGTGGTTGCCATCTCATTGTACAAAGCATAATCGATGCTGATTCATCTTGTGTGAGACCGTCAGCAGGATTTTCACATTTTTGCTTAGATAAACGTACATAAGTTTGTATCGATGGTAGAAGAAACATTAATGGTTCAACAGCTACTTCAAGAGAGACAATTGGCATTTTCTCATAGCCTTCTATTGTCAGAAAATTCTCATGATAATCAACATGAAGACTTTGCGGAAGACCTTGTGTTTTTCCACTGTGATGTGCACCCATATTTAGTTTTTTTGACGTTTTATTTTTATCACTGTAACTATTAATTTTTATTGAAAATGTACAAGCAAATAAAAGAAGGTGTGATCATTCACATAATAAAGATTGATATCAATAAGAATCGGAAAAAATGTGTGAAGTTTCGTTTTTTGAATTTTGCCAAAGGCAATAATTCGATATAATTCAATAGAAATGAATTGAAAAATAATTCAAGTAAATTCAAGAGAACAACTGATGTGCAATCCAAGACTAGTTTTAACATGTACGTATAAAATCTTATTTGTTCTTTTCTTATTTATTATCAATTGAGTGCATACTCATCGTGCTGTCGATCTTGAACTGAAATAAATACCCACTCAATAGTGTTTGATCAACCGTATCGTTGTTTCGTTGTTTCTTCAATGGATATGAGTATGTTCTTTCTATCAAGCTAAAAAGCTTTTATTTTAATATGCATGACTAAATGGGAAAATCTTTTTTGTTGCTAAACATTCTTTGTGTCAAAATATTCATACTGCCTGAAAAAAAAATGAGAGATAAAAATCAATCCATTAAAAGCAAATATAAATATTTGAAATAGTATACACATATGACTAGTACGACAAAAATAAAAATGATTAATACTTTTCTTCAATTGCTAATGCTGACTGGGGAAAAAGCAATAAGGTAAACAAAAAATTGTCAAGCACATCACTTCCTAGTTATGATGCATAAATAATTGAAAACTTTAACAAAGCAATGCACATTTTAAAAATGCAAACAATCAATCGATTATATCAATTGGATCATCAATGTGCTCCTTGGCGAGAATTTCGTTATAAAATAAAATGTGAAAGTAAAGTTCATTACCGAATTCGTCGATGTGGCTTTAGCAAATATCAACAGTTCGAAGATAAAAATGGCAATGTAATCTATAACATTGGTGTAACAAAAATTATTTCAGCATTTAATGAAGAAATTCGGGTTGCTATCCAAGCTGATGGAAAAACAATTGAAACAACGAATGGTAGTTATCTGCTTACTGATATAAATATGAATGACAGAAGTTATGTTTTGAAAAAGAATGCTAAAGTGATACTACAAGTTAAGAAAGACGATAGCCGTATGCACGATCGGCATACTATTGAAATGCAAGAAATTAATGAAGAAGAGCCAGAACTTCTATTTGCTCTTGTTATACTTATTGATTCGTTTATGAACGCAATACACAGTCCTATGATTTACCCAAGTCTAACTTGTTGTTACGCTCCTAATTATCCATTTATATTCAGTAGTATACCTACACTCGAAAGTCGTATTCTTGTTTAAGCGGATCACTGCATTTAATAAATTTTTAAATTTTTAAATTCATTATATATATTTTACACTCACGTGAAATGAAAAAAGTATTTTTCTTTTATTTGTTCTTCTATGTAAAATAACACCATTGTGATCACTTCTTGTAATTACAATATTAATCATTGAATAAACGGCATTCGTAAATTTTCTTGTTGCAAATGATAGTATTCATCACAAATGATGAGTTTAATAATATAAAACTCATGAATTCAACTTTAATGTAAGAGAAAAGAAAAACAAAATAGAGCAATTTTGTTCTGTTCTTTCCGTACTAATGTAAATAAATATATGCAGATCATTTTCTAACTATTGTTATTGAAGATAAAAATTTCATGTTTGAATTTTTTCATGATTAAATACAAAACTAGAATCTCGAACTGAATCCTATTGAGAAAACTTGTATTTGTACAATACATAGTATGTTCACATTCAAACTTAGCTTTCCTCTGTAATGTCTCAAACAGTTGTATAGTTTACTATTCTTTAGAAACTTATTTTTTTTATGATTGAATAAACAATTGATTATTATGCTTGATTTTGTTTTCCGTTGAAAAGAATCCTAGAGCAATATATGACCATAACTATATAATCATATTGCTTAAAAGATGATCATCAATATCAAAGTAGAAGGAAATTTATTACAATAAAAAAATTGCATAACTAGTTAAATCAGTCAGAATTTATAATTATAATAATAGATCCAAAGCGGACTTGAAATATATTGTTTGATAGAAATAAATTTGAGCTTTACTCCACCATGAAAGACCACAGTCTTCTAGATTAAAAGTTGTCAATGATTGATTGTGCCGTACTAGATTAGTAATCGAATGAGAAGATGAATCATTGATTTCTGAATTTCCTGTTAAACTTAACCATTGAAGAGTTGAATTATAATTAATGAGTAGATCAGCTAATATATCCATTCCTTCGTTACCAATTCGATTGTAGGATAATGTTAATTTAATTAATGTTTTATTTGTTCTCAACATGTCAGCTAATAGTCGAACACCTGTATCAGTAATAGAATTATTATTGAGATCAAGTCGTTGAAGATATGAATTTGCCATAAGAGCATGAGCAAGATGTTGCACACCGGAATCACATATAAGATTATTTCGAAATCCTAACGTTTCCAATAATTTATCATCATATAACGCGGAAGCAATTATCGAAGCACCTTCTGATGTAATTCCTCTATTGAATAAATCAAGATATGTACATCTTTTATTAATAAGTAAGGCTTTGACTGCAATAGCTATATCTTGATTTTGAAAATTTCGTCGTAGTAAATTGACATTTGAATGAGGAAGAAATTCTCCATGACTTTCTTCTAGAACACCATATATATCACAGGTATCGTCAATACTTTCGTGAGTTTCGGTATTCAATGTTAAGGATTCTGATGCACACGGAATTAAATGAGTTCGAAGTTCTTCACGTAATCCGATCCAAGGACAACTTTTGTCTCTACGTGGACAACTGACAATAGCTTTGCGACACATTTTATTAATATGATTTTGAAAATTACCACGCTGTATATTACTTTCATTGCATAATTTACATCTAACTGGAATTTGGTCGAGTGCCGCAAGAATAGACGAGTCCATTACGGGTATGAGATGCTTCGTTAAGTATGATTCATTACATGACGAACAGTGTAAGTGGTCATCATCGAATGGTGTTTCTACGCATTGTCGACAAAATGTATGATGACATAGACTAATGACTGGCTCAGTTAAGGGCATGCTACATTTATTACATATTAACGAGTTATCAATGGATTCTAAATCAATGTAATCATAGTAATTGTCAATTTCCATTGCTATATAGACAATATTCGTAAATATTTAGCCATCGTATCAGTAAAGTAATGTAATAGAAATGCTCTCGGTCTTTCTCACCAACAGTGTTGTGCAAATAGAAGATAAGAAAATGTCGATAGGTCACCGAATAATTATTTATCTTTCTGGTTAAACTAGAACGAAATTCAGAAGGTTTTTATCAAATATTCTTTTTCACGTTTAAAGTAAAAGTAATTCATTGTCTTAACATCTTTCAAGAAATATCATATTGTATCGGTAGACAATGAAAATAATATATAACACCAGTAGACGATTTTATATTTTCAATAGATCTGATAAGTTTTTAATGAAGAAATAAAAACAGATGGATAAGAACACAATGTAAAATAAGAATAAAATATATAACTTGCCCTAGAATCATATATCGACGGTTTTATACTGAAATTCACAATCACATATAACGGAAGAAAAAAAAGCAGATTTTTACAGTTCACATCGACAGGAAAAGTATGCGATTCTCCATCGATGCAATCGACGTTGAAAATAATACTTTCGATATGAGTGTATAAGTGTTTGTTCTATAAATTACAGCTGCTGCATTTTAAAATGAATACAATTATATTAGACATCATTCTTCAATGGGCACCAGGCTATAGAATGCAATCTGTTTGGCAAACTCATTTGTTTCATCTCGATAAAGAATACTATCAATGTCTACTATGAACTGTCTTGAAAAATTACCGATTGATTTAATTGACGGAATTTTCAATTACCTGGAAACTTATGATGTATTCATTTCGTTCTATAATATTAATAAATATATGAATACAATATTAAATAGTTATAAATATCGTTTATATTTTCAATCGATAAATATGTCAAAGTTTTATAGAACTCTTCATTATATTAATCCTTGTCAAATCATTTCATTGACTTTGTCAACTATGAATAATACACCAGGTTAATTAAAATTATTTCTTTCACTTTTTACTATTAAAAAGTTTACTCAACTCGAATCATTTGAATTGATTCAACCAATAACTCCGTTTTATTTAAATAACATTTTAATTGATTTATTCGCACTTAAATCTTTCAAAACATTAACAATTATTCATTGTAAACCATCGAGTGTTAATGAAGAAACATTTTTACTTTTCTCGTCATTGATCAATATATGAAAATGTCTTCGTCGGTTGTATTTATCTGGCGCATTAAATACAACATTTCTCTATAGTATCGTTTCATCAATAAATCATCTCGGTTTTAATAGTAATATATTTAATACATTAACATTAGAAAATATTATTTCTAGAATGCCTCATTTAAAATCACTTCATACAGCAATCACATTACCTATGAATTATAATTATCTATCATCACCGATTCATTTGAGACGATTGACCATGACTATTTTTACTAATATAGCTAATGCAGATTTTAAATTACTTTTAAATAAAATGTTATCACTTGAATCTCTTAAAATAACTGCTAATGGAAAACAATGGTTTACTGGAGGATTCTAGGGACATTGTTTACCATTAAAAATTCGAATATTTCAATTTAACTTTTATACTCAGTCTATACATCTCAATGAAGAACTCATTTTAGAAACATTTCAAACATCATTTTGGCTTGTATCGCTTGATGTCTTTTTGATGAGTGTTCTGTCGATTGATTATGACAATAGATCAACTTTAGTGTAAGAAATTTTTAAAAGAAAACAATGTACATCAAATACAGAAATACATTTAAATCAGAAATTTAAGAATTATAGATTAGTTTTGTTGGTATAATCTTTGTTTTCACACCCAATTTGATTATCATCTGTTAAGTTTTTTAACTTAACTTTGTCTACAATATAAATTAAGTATGCCTAATAAAATATTGTGTAGTGTTTTCTATAACTTTATATTCTTGTTAATAATTGAATGTTCGAGGATAATGCAGCCTTGTATTTTAAACAGTATAATATCATTTTATATGAAAAACATATCTTTAGTTAATGAAAAGTCAATACATGTAAGAAATACTTCTCGTTTGAAGATTTCCAAGCAGAAAATATCATTGTCCCATTTTATAATAACCGGTGTTTATTTAGCTGCTTATGACTAATGAAATGAATTCATTTTATTTTCGACCATCGCTTCCATCTAAAAACTGTAATCAAACGTGCCAAGTATGTTTTGATGAAAACTCATCTAAATTTTTTCGTCTAATATCCACTCATGAATGTCTTCAAACTCCAAGAACTATATTTGTGATGTATGCATCTATCATCGTATTGAACAAACTTCCCAGGAAATGCTTACAGATGATGTGCGGTGTCCCGAACTTGAATGTAATCGTAAATATAATTACGAGACAATTAAAGATATTCTTCGGTCGGATAAAAATACAAAACTGGTTGAAAGATATAATCGATTTATGTGTCTTCATCAATTAGAACAAATGGACGAGTATATATGGCGTTCAAATCCTAAGTGCCAAATGGGACAATTGAATGATGGAGGAGACGCCAATAATGTGATAGTATGTACTCGTTGTCATACAAAAACTTGTTTCAATCATAAAACAAGATGGCATACAGGTTTGACATGTGAACAATACGATTCAAAGACTGATGGTGATGTTAAAGCTAGTTTACGATGGACAAATCAAAATACGAAAACATGTCCAAATTGTCCGTATCAAATCGAAAAAAAAACAATGGATGTGATCATATGACTTGTATTAAATGTCATTATGAATTTTGTTGGGCTTGTTTAGTTGATTACAATAAAATACGACGATATGGAAATCATAGACCTCGTTCTGAGTGTAAGCACTATGGGGAGACCGGAATTTCGGCCCACGGAATTTTCGGGCCGGACTTTCGGCCCAGTCCGAAATTCCTGAGATTTTTCGGGCCAATTTTATACAAATTCATTAAACTCGGAGAAAAAACGAATTTTTTTGAAAATTGGCTTCTAGATTTTTTTAGTACCGAGCGAAGCGTCGTAGTGCCGAGCGAAGTAATATAGTGTTAAAAACAGCACTTCTATTGTTATAGAACATAGTATGGCGTTTTAAGACACATATCGTTTATCCACAACAAGCACGAACGAATCTAGTGTAATCTCAATATTGGCTTAAGGATGCACATTTTTTAGTTTTATTTTAGATGTAGNGCGTTTTAAGATACATATCGTTTATCCACAACAAGCACGAACGAATCTAGTGTAATCTCAATATTGGCTTAAGGATGCACATTTTTTAGTTTTATTTTAGATGTAGAATTCACTATTGCTGGTATATTTTTCGAAATTTGTTGAGATGTATATTAGGTACAAATTCGTTTTTTTTATTTCAACTAGTTTTTCTTCTACGGAATGAAAAACGCCGCTTCGCTCGGCACTACGTCGCTTCGCTCAGCACTACGACGCTTCGCTCGGTACTAAAAAAATCTAGAAACCAATTTTCAAAAAAATTCGTTTTTTCTCCGTGTTTAATGAATTTGTATAAAATTGGTCCGAAAGTCCGGCCCGGAAATTTCGTGGGCCGAAATTCATGTAACCCGCACTATGCACCATATGATAAGGATTACGTATTTTTTTAAATTTTGCTAATCAAACTAGAAAAGATACATTTGCATCGTATTTCTAATAAAATTAATTCTGATTTCAAACACTGTAATCTACTCTTCATTTGCGCGCCGATAACCAAAATATTCATTCTCATGTTACTAATTCTCAAATGGAAATATTATTTTCAGAAAATTGAAAAATTAATTATTAATAATATCCCGATTAAATCCTTTCTAGTTTTGTACTTTTTATTTCAGTAGTATTCAACAAGACAATATCTGTGTTAATTTTACTCTATCTTCTATTCTGTTCGATGGATTACTTCGATTTAGTGTTGGATAGGAAATCAAAACTGACTTGATGACTTCGAGAACATCCCATCTAGATAAACAAGAATAATCGAATTAGAACGCTTAGTGTTACATTAGTCGAGGGTAAATACTAGAAAAGAAAAGTTCCTTCTTCCGAATTATATTCAATTCAAGGTCATCATTTATCATTAGAAAAAAAGTACATCAGATAGAACTAAATCGACTGGCGAGACATACCTGTTCGAAGAAGAGCAATTATATGGGGAAAATGTAATCAGTAAAGTGATTAATGATAGTTGTATATGCATATTTTAATTAAAATAATTTGTTTCTGCTAAATGACGTCTGTCAAATAGCCCAATATTAATATATTTTCTGGTATATGTTTGATATAGTTGAGAATCAAAAATGATCAAGAGCTTCAACAAAATTTTTCCTCACATGCTTTTTGATATGACAATTAACATTCATTTATCTGATCATAAAGTTCGATTGATGACTTGAATATATGCACTAATTTATTTTAACATCGACAATCTAATTTTGTAAAACTCCCATTATAGACTGATTGTAGTTAAAATTAGGTTCGATAAAAGTACCATAAAAATTGCTCATTATTCTACTGTTGTTAAAAACTGCATTCAATGATTGAATTTAAAAAATGTATTTTAAAGGTGAAGTGCATTTAAAACACAGATAAATGATTGTGGAGAAAAAAATAGAAATTATATTCTTACCACGCAGGTATTTATTACTTTGATAGTTTTTCTTTGTTTCCAGTCATGCTTTCCATTGATTTTACTACAAGAAGATCAAAGCTACTCTGGTTGTCAAGTATTTTCGAAAGTAATCTTTTTTCTTGTTCTTTTTCTTCGTTTGGATGTGACGAAAGATTTAGAATGAAAACATGAGAAGTGAATAACATTTGCAAGAACTTATCAAGAAAGTCTATGCCAAATTTATCAATGTCTCAATTTGTATTAGAATTGGTTCAAAATAATTAATTATCAAAAACAAAATCGGACAGAAATCTTAATATGCTTTCTACTCGCTTCGGCATGTCTTGGGAGTGTGAACCAAGACCAGATTAACGCATTCATTGTTATAAAAATTCAAAGTGATGTCTTTCATCTTTACTACCTTGCTAATAAAAATTTAACCCCCATGAGAATTGATTTCTGCCATGCGGTCTCTTCTAGTATACCAAAAGAAACAATAGCTGATGTGAATTGTTTTGATCGGCCCAATGGCATATATAGAGAGTTTTTCATTGCATTTCTTTATAAATCATTTATTCTAATTCTATGGCAAAATCGGTCGCCAACACAATGTGCATTTACATATATACTTTTTCTATATATTAAATAGTAATACAATTTGTTGTGATACATTTTTTACTGTTTTACTTCAATTCAACTTTTCTTTATTATTTATAAATAAAAGCAAAACAATATAGATAATGATTAATAAAACTGTTCTAGTGTTTCATGGAAATATCATATAAATATAATATGATAATGATAAAATGATTTATTTATTGTTTATTAGCATTCTGAAAAATCATTGGCTATAAATTTAGTTTAATATTTGCTTTAATTTTGAAGATTTATTTCAACAAAGATGACGCATGAAACTCTTACATTTGATTGCAAAAGCAAAACATCAAAACATGAGTCTCTAGTCTGAAGTAGGGGAGTGACTTCGCATAAGTTCGAAAATATGCTCGACTTTAGAAAACAAAATATTTCAATTAGCCTCCTAAGACGTCGTCAGTTCTCTTCATTCATACAATCTTGACAATTTCGAGATGCAAGTATATATGTAATTGGAATACGAAGCGAGTTATATTTTTTCTTTTCATCATAAAGTAGCGTAAAAAATTCCTACAGCACTTCATTTCTACTCGTTGTTCCACCACATTATGAATGCACGCATAACTTTTTCTTTCAAGTCTTCTATTTTAGAAAGTAGAACAGAATCGAAAAATAGTGACTTGAATACAAGTTCAAAAAGAGTACTATTAACATTCTTATTCTTGTTCGAATATGAATTATCGTTTATTTTTCAATTAATTTATTTTAAATAGTCGCTATAAAAATATCAGCAATTGAAAGACTATCATTGAAAATGCTGAATTTCATTTTTTTTTTTTTATTTATGGAAATAATTCAAACAAATGCTTAGATGATGTTGAAGTTTAACTAAAATCTATGTCAATATTTTTTTACATCGAAAAACTCGTATATATGAGATAAAAGATATCTAAATGAATTTATCAGTCAGTAATTATACATTATTATATAAATACCAGAATTATCTGACCAAAGAAGTTTGTTCTCTATAACCTTTTCTTTCTATTAATATAAATTTTCATCGGCAGAAAAGTCTCAGTCATCATATAATGTTGTCACCCATGGTAGTCCGCTGCTTTTGCATAGTGTCTGCATCTTATTTACAGTGCAAATCTAAGCTAAGAAAAATCCGAGTGTCTTCTTTTTTTTCTGGTTTCTTTATATTGATTGATGTTGCGTTCCAATATGTTTTTTTCTTGTCGTATTTCTCCTTAGTACGAAGGTTTCTCAGAGAACGAAGCGAGGGTGTTATCGTTGTAGAACTTACTGGGGTAGATTTGTTCTATTCCTCTTCTTTTTTTTTGTTTGGTGTATTTATCCTATTGGTGTTTCTGCTATTTTTTTCGACGCAGTTTCCCATAATATATATTTTTTCGCCTATGTATTGGGCGCAACAACATTATCAACAGTCATTCTGCCACATCTATGGCTTTTGTCGACACACCCGCAATACTAAGCAGTCGTTTTCTTATATCCAGTTTCTTGTTTTTTTTTGTTTTGTCAGATGGCTATCCATCTATATACAAATAGTTGATTGAGCTAGTTTTATTGCAAAAGCCACACGTGCCTCCTCCCATTTAAACTTCTCGTCCGCGCAAAGTTTAACTTATTTTGCCCTTCATGCTCTTCGATAGGACAAAGTTTAACGCACTTTAATCGATTTCTTTTTTTCTTGCTAAATTTGGCATCTCCAATACCATAAAAGTCCATTATGTAAAAATGAAAAAAAAGTAAGAATAGTAATGAAGAGAGAAAACAAGAGAATATACTCGAATACTGTACCTATATATAGAGGCTGTAGTCAAACCATTGAGTTAAACAGGCTCTGTTAAAAACAAAAAATGTAAGGTAGTTACTTTTTTTAGATTGAAAAAGAAATCATGGAAGATATCAGCGTACCATTTTCTGAAGTTCATTATCTTACGATTGAAAAAGTCGGTAATGTACCAGTAACAAAAGGTAATTTTCAATCACTACCTGCTCATGTTCAAACATGGCTTGCACAAATGGTAAAAACAAATTGTTATGGTACATAAATAAAACTATTGGTTTTTGTTAACGATTTAGATTCAATTATGTACACCAAAGGCTGTATATATTTCTGATGGATCACAAGAAGAAGCTACAATAGTGACAAAAAAATTAGTTGATTATGGTCAATTGTCACCATTGAAAAAATATGAAAATTGTTATATTTGCCGAACAGATCCTCGAGTAAGAAAACTTTTCTTTCACTATAAAAATAAAAATAAAAATTCTTTCTTTTTACTTTTCTAGGATGTTGCTCGTGTTGAGTCAAAAACATTTATCGTTACAAATGATAAACATTCATCGGTACCACATTCACGAGAAGGTGCCAAATGTATTCTTGGTTTATGGATGTCACCTCAAGATATCAGCAAGGAACTTGATACTCGATTTCCAGGATGTATGACTGGACGAACACTGATGGTTATTCCATTCAGGTATAATTATTAATATTAAAAAGAGAGTATTTCCCTTTTTTTTACTAATGCCTCTTCTATTTTTAGCATGGGACCAGTTGGTTCACCATTAAGCAAAATCGGTGTACAAGTTACCGATTCATATTACGTATTACTTTCCATGAGAGTAATGACACGTGTTTCACCAGATATTTGGAGACATCTTGCACATGGAGAAGAATTCGTTCGGTGTCTTCATTCTGTTGGTAAATTTATAAATAGAAAAAACAAATAACTTTTTATTTAAAAAAAAATCAATGTTATTTATTTAGGTGTTCCTCTTCCAGCTGCACAACCAATTGTTAACAATTGGCCATGTAATCCAGAAAAGACCATGGTAAGTTAACCGTTGAGAACACAATGTGCAAGCATCAGAATCGGCACCTTTTACTTTTTGTGGGTCATTGTTAAGCTAGTAGACGAAATATTTATTTTTTATTCTATAAGTACAAATGCGGTCTTTTTATTTCTGGTTGTTAATAGCATATGTGTCCTTGCTATTTGTTCTGACATGTCTCTTCTATATATAAATACACATCAACAACATCCATGATACAGAAAAATGCTATAATTTTAGACATGAAAAAAAAGGAACTACTACAAAAAAAAGCTGTTATTGCAATTTATCTGGAATTAAAATTAAAAAGATGTTATACTAACTATTGCCTATCATCATGAGAATATAGTTCATCAATATAACGTTGACGAAAGAAGAGCTTTTTATAGTACCACAAAAAAAATCTATCACAGTCAGTAACACCGAAGGGGTTCAATCTAAATTTCTATTCTAGTGTTTCAACACTCTTTTTGAAATATCTTTCACAAATAGAGACGATTGAAACAGCAAATACATTTGAAAATAAAACTATCTAACAAACGAATTAAAAACGTGATGTTCTCTTCATGTGTTTAGATTGTTCATTTTCCAGATCCTCGCAAAGTAATGAGCTTTGGATCAGGTTATGGTGGAAACAGTTTACTTGGCAAGAAATGTTTCGCTTTACGTATTGCTGGTCGTATTGCCAAAGATGAAGGATGTGCGTATGATTTGATTCGAAGAGATATTTATAATTCATCTTTCTTTTGTTATTATTGAAATACAACAGGGTTAGCCGAACATATGTTAATTATGTCAATAACAAATCCAAAAGGTGAAGAAAAATTCATCGCTGCTGCTTTTCCATCTGCTTGTGGAAAAACAAACCTAGCAATGTTAACACCAACAATTCCGGGTTATACCGTTCAATGTGTTGGTGATGATATTGCATGGATGAGATTTGATAAAAAAACTGGCGAATTACGTGCAATCAACCCTGAAGCTGGCTTTTTTGGTGTAGCACCGTGAGTTATTTTTGTTTATGCTTTAAACGAGTAGATATTATTATTGTTTTATTATTCATTTCTACAGAGGAACAAATATGAAAACAAATCCAAATGCAATTTTAACTTGTTTGAAAAATTCAATTTTTACTAATGTTGGTGAAACAGCTGATAGTGGATTCTACTGGGAAGGTCTTGAAGATGAAACACCAGCTGGTACTGAAGTAACGTCATGGACCGGCGAAAAATATAAATTAGGAGAAGATAAAACAAAAAAATCAAGTCATCCAAATGCGCGATTCTGTTGTCCAGCTCGTCAATGTCCAATAATTCATAGTAGATGGGAAGATCCAGCTGGTGTACCTATTTCAGCTATTATCTTTGGTGGACGAAGACCGGAAGGTGTTCCTCTAGTCATTGAATCACTCAATTGGAAACATGGCGTTTTTCTTGCTTCACAGCTTAAATCGGAATCAACTGCAGCAGCTGAATTTACTGGCAAACAAATTATGCATGATCCATTTGCAATGCGGTAAAATGTCAATTAAAAACTTATTCTTTTGTTTTAAATAAAATTTTATTTTAGACCATTTGTTGGTTATAACTTTGGACATTATATTCAACATTGGCTTGATTTTGAAAAAGATCCAAACAACAAAGTACAATGAAAATTTTGTTCTGATTCAGTTTTAAAAAAATCATATTTGATCTTAATTTAGTTACCGAAAATCTTTCATGTCAATTGGTTTCGTTTGGATGAAAATAATAAATTTCTTTGGCCTGGATTTGGTAAGAAAACTTAAATAATATTTCTTTCATATTCTAATGAAACTTCTTTTTCTTTTCTCCAGGCGATAATATTCGTGTACTTGACTGGATTATTCGACGTGTTAATAATGAAGATGTTGCTGATGTATCACCTGTTGGTCTCTTACCCAAGAAAGGTTCCATTAATCTCGATGGCCTTGATATTAATTGGGAGAAACTATTGAGTATACCAAAAGATTATTGGACTGGTGATATTGAAGAAACTTTAACATGGCTTGATGGTCAATTAGGTGATGATTTACCACAAGATATTCGTGCAGAAATTCAGAAACAAAAAGATCGCATATCTCAACTAAATTAATTTATCAATTAGTTATAAAATTATTCTGAACAATTTTAACCTTTTAGATAGAGATCATATATATTTAATAGACCATTGAATCTTTTAAAATTGTACTACTATTAGATATTTATCTGGTAAAAATAAACATTTTTTCAATCAACGTCAAATGTTGTTTTTTTATCGTCCTTAAAGTAAATATAAAAATAAAAATAGTTAGAATCTTAGATTAAAATCAAGTTTCGATTCGTTTTGGTTGCTTAATATACAATAGCGATTATTTTGCTTTTATCAAGAAACATCGGCCGGTGGAGTGGCGACTTTTGTCAAATTTGAATCTTATTAGATATAGATTCAATCAAACTTTATTATAATCCTATTTTCTAAATTATTATCAATAGAATAAATTTGATAACTGCTTGGAAGGTTTTTGATTATCTACCGTTGCATAATTTATTTTTAAAACTGAAGTGATAAATATGACAACATGACAGTATTGAAATGAATATTAGTTTGATATTTTGAGTAAATTCTATGAATGAAAACTCTTTAGCTAGTCCATATCTTGAGCATTTTCGATAATAAACCTCCTTTCTTAAGAAGATTATTTTTTGTTGTAACGTTCGTTTTAATTACTATCAGACAAATACCTAACAGTGAATCAACGATATTCATTTAGTTTTATTTGATCACTACGTCATTCACTTGTTAAAGGTTATGATCATCTGATTAATAATGGCCATCGTTTATTTATTGTATTATATTCATCTAGTCATATGAATGTGTATGACTCATTTCGAAAAAGTTCTTCAATTATTTATGATAAATATTCAAATCAATATCAAATTTGAATAAGAGAAGCAGTAAGTATTTCAATAAAAACTACTACCGGTATAATTATGTTAATTATCGTCGTATAGCTTGTAGGCATATTATTTATTATAATCAATTCGATTGATTTGATCATAATTTAAGTTTAGAATCAAATTACGATAAATATCGGTTAGATAAAGTGAAAATGAATCGAACTTAAAGTTTAGATATTGTGATCACTATAAAACATTTATTCTTAAATTTCTACATGAATAAAATACTATTATAAAAATATTGAAAAGTTCTCCATAATAAATCTTTGAAAAATGGATCCTAATAAACATGAAAAAAAAACAATACTAAGAATAACAAATGCATAAGAAAGAACAATCGGCATATACTATTGCGCAACGTCTGTATTCATCTGGCATTCTGCTTGTCGCTATCAGCTGAAGTAAATTCAAGTTCTACGAGTCTGCCTTGTACTCAAGGATATGGTTGTGGGTACCCGTATTCTATCGATTCTCTAACACAAATATCATTCTCAACCTTTCCCCAAAGCACGGATCGATGCCAAATAATTGATTGTGCTGTTTATGTCATTCCGTTTAACCGTATGATCAATGTCAATCAGATCAACTTTTACAGATATAGAAGAAAAAGATGAATAATCAAGATGGTAGTTTTCATTGGATTAAACATCAAATGTAAAATAATTTTTAGAAATGTCGAGTGAAATAATAGCGCATGAGCTATTGTTAAATCTCTATGCCATTTTCTTTTATCAATGAGAAATAAACCGTTCACATTAGCTATAATTCCTAGCACAACTGTTGTTCATGTACTTGAAGCACATAAATCTGAATGACGTCATCGCTATGAAATCTCATAGAAACCCCAAGGTAATTTTCTCTTCATATGATCCAATCAGCTACGTAAATAGAACTCGATAATTCCACAATAGGTTATCATTCTTCGATTGCTGTTGTTAATGATAAGTTTTCATATGTTAAACTTTGACTGTGTCCTACATTTAGCTGCGTTACCATCGATATGCCACAGTAGATATATAAACAGAGAGTTCGATGCTAATAGCTTTTGATTAGAACTATTATTATATATCCTGTGTTTCGGACTATGCTTCGATTTAGCAATGAGAAAGAATCGAAAATAAAAAATAACTATAACAAAGCTAGAATATATTTAAGTTCTATACGTATTTTAAATTGGACATGAAGCAGAGCTGCCAAATTATCAGGCCAGAATAAAGCTCGTTGCTTTGGTACTATGTAATAGTAATTTATGTAGAGGTTAGCTTGAAAAATAAGATATTGTTATAAATTGACATGTTTATTATCGAAATTTGATAGATTAGTTTAAGTTTTCTTTCTAATATTATTATTCTTTTCTATTCCATCTATGTTTTTTTATTCTGTTTTGCCAGATTTATCATTTGCTTTTTTTTCTTCCTTCTTAACTACTTTAAGTTCATACCAAAGAACATTAAATAATTCATTTTTCAGAAAAAGAGAAAACTTTAATCAGTATACTGACGCCAGTGTACGTCTAATTAGTCGAACTTTGATCTAAAAAAGGGATAAGATTAGAAGCTATACTTTCTTGAATATTAAAGGTGTTCAAAATTCTCAGAATCTTCTTTTTTTCTAAAGAAAAAAGAAAAAACCTTTTGAATTGATAATTATGAAAAATGATGAAATTATGTAGAAGGCTCATCTGGAAATATTTCATACTAAAAATTAACAGAAGTTCCAGATCTTGTATTTTTAAGAGGAGGTGAATAAAGTAATCAATATAATTCACCCGAAAAATAAAAACAACAATCGACCTGATTTAATCTACCGGTCAGCTCGGGTCAAATTAGAGTGACAAAAAGTAACGCGTCGATAATTCTGGGAATAATAAAAAATGCGATTTAAATCCGATCAACATAGAAGTAAACAATTACATGCGCAAGCATTTTTTGATAGTATATTTCATATTTACAATAAATAAACAAGAACATACAAACAAGACTTTCAAAAATATTTAACAAAAATTGGCAACGATACAATATCAAAACACTACAATTGAAAATCAGGTTAAAATATAGTTTATTGATAAATGACATATTCAAGTTGTAAGAATGCCTCTTTTACATAAAAAAGACATTTTCTAATTGTTGTCGCGTATATATATATATATTTGGAAATAATTAAATTTAAAAAACCATAAAAACTAAATAGAATATACAAACCAAATAAAGCAAGCCATCTTAAGAAAATATGTGTCTGTTTTTGTAGGTCATTCTTTTTCTGATATTGTGTGAATTTCTCATGTATAAGAAATACTACTGTTGCCGAACCAAAACTAACATGCGTAATAATATTCAAGAATGCTACAAGGATAAATTTTCTATCTTTTGCTGATGGAGTCTGTGTATGAGTTCCTCGGCTGGTAGCAATACGAGCACTACTAACACCACGTACAGTTCGAATATTTCTTAGTCAATGATCCGAATAGGATCATAAGAGACGACATCGAAATTATCTTAATTAATGAATAATAAGCTATGAATGTCGGATAAAAACCAAGTTTCATATAACAAATAAAGTGATTTAGCACAAGTTGTACGATGTCGGCGAAGATAAATGATTGGCTACTAAATATTATCCAAAACAATGTACCACTAATGAAATAGATTTGTAAGCAAAATGATTATTGCTTCGTCGCCGTGTTTCAACATTTGGTGACGTAGTAAACATTCAATCGATTGCAGCTAGAATCAAATAAAATGAACTTAAAATGCCACATCATACGAATAAATAAACACGTATACGGCAACAAAAAATATTATACGAACTTGCATGGGTATTATAGCCTGTGTCAAGCGTTGTAGCTAATAATGTTGTATATATAAATAATAAATTACACCAATTAAATGAAAAAACATATATTGTAGAAGGATTTTTGTGTAGATTTTTTTGTTGAAATATAATATAGCTGAGTAAGCAACTAATAGTACCCAACATGATTAAAATTGGACCACCAATACGATATACATTTTTTGTTATTGATTCCAATAAGACCATAGGGACATTCGCCTCAGTTTGGGTAGACATTAGAAGAAAAAATAACCTCGCTTCGAAATGTTGAGAAATATATAAATAAATAAAAAAAACTCTGGCCTATCTGATAAGCCGATCAGTATTCTGAAGATCTTCTGCTTTCTCATGGGAATCTACTACAATGTTCATCGGAATAGTAATTGAATTACAAAAGTAACTAGATAACCGACATATACTTTTTGTACGAAATTTAATGAAGATAACTATGCTAAAGTCTAAAGAAGATTTGTTCACATAAATTAGCTATAGATTTTACTTTGATGTCGTATTCTTTATTTGTTTTTGATAATAAGCTTTATTATCTATTTTGATAACGTTTTTAAAAGAAGAATAAGTTTTTTTTAAATATAATACGTATTGATATTACGTTTCATCATCAAAAATGAGTTTATCATCTGAAGTTTTCTTCGGTTGATTTTCTTTGGAAGCCTATCAGAAGTTACATTGATTTCTTTCAAATGCAGTGAGATTTTATACAGTAGTAGATGTTGATTTCTTGACCTTGATGACCATTATCAGAAAAGATTTTAAAATAATACTGTACCAGTTTCTGATCGCTCATCATAGGATCATTTACAGTCAAAAACCTAATTTCAACGATAGATATTAGTAACAAATAGACTATTATTTCATTGAATAGATCCGGTTTTTTTCAGGATGTTGAGACTTTCCAGAAAGAAAAAGTCAGCGATACGAGTGAGTGAACATCATGATCTACTCTAATTAAGAGAAAAAGAAAAAGAAAAAACAAAATAACTTTCAATTTTGACCTTGAATGTTTAGTTTTAACGATTTTTCGAGACTTCTGGTTTGGATAACGACACGTTTTTTTTTCATAATCTACATGACAAAAATCTCAAACTCTCAGCTGATCTTTGATGAGACTATTTATTTATTTTTTTCCAAGTAATAGCTATCTCATAGGATATCAGCTACTTCAGTTTGTATTCTCTGTAATAAGGAAACTCTAAAAATCAAGCTTTGAATGGAACTCGCTTTAGAATTGAGATTTGGAAGTATCATTTGAATTTTTTTTTAAGTAGAAGATATCAGATGGTTCTAGGTATAATTCAGAAAGTTTCATTCCACTCGGAATAAATTTATTCAAATTGTACTACATTTCTGAAATGATAACTTTGCGTCATTTCATTTTTCTCTCTCTTCTGTATGATTATCTATGCTTTATTTTTATTAAAGTCATCATTTATTTCAATTTATAAAAACTCTAGATTAATCTTGTCACTCCATTGTTTATCATCATTGAATAAATGGATTGCGCTAAGTACTTTCCTGAACAAGAAGTATCGTTGGTAGCTCGCAATTTTTTCTGATGACTTCTATCCAACGACAACACACACATATAAGAAAAAAACTATCTTATGTGACGTTATTATCCCACTTATTTTCATTTTTTTTTGCAGGACATCAATTTTATTGTTCTAATTCTATTCTATTTAGAAAACATCCAGAATTCTATTCTACAAAAAGACACGTGTAAATTCATTTTTTTGTTCATTTATAGTCTATGTAAACTAACACCTGTAACAGTTCTTATCGCAAGTATATCTTTACCAAATAGTAGAGCATTGTAAGGTGCTGGGTCATATTTGTCACTTTTGACTAGATGTCCATTAGTTGATATATGAAAAAGACGAAAATGATATTCATCTGTAATAAGCCATTCATCATTATTTAACCAGCAACAACCCGTTGTACGTCGTGGTACAATACGACCAATTTCGATTGACCAAATCGGATCTAATGTTGTTGATGAACGAAGGTCTAGACGTATTTCATTTGTTGGTTGATGAAAAATAATAATAGCAAATTTTCCGTTCTTATAACATAAATCATCAATGCATTCATCTTTTCGACATGTTGTTGGTGATGTCCATTCTTTAATAAATTGAACGGATGGTAACAGTGAAAATTCATAGAGTGATGAACCTAATTCACTTGTTGATAAAAATAAATTTGTATTTGAACATGTACCCGAACGCCAATTATGATAAATATTAGCATGATGATTTAAATCACATCGTTCAATAGCCATAAGATTTTCATCGATTGTAAATATTGTATCATTTGTTATAACAATAAAACGATTTAATGTTGATGACCAACACATGACATATATTCGACCATGTGTCCATGGTGTTTTTTCAATAATTGCTAGTTGTTGATCGAGTAAATATAAATCAGGTTTATGATGAACTAATAAATATTTGTCATTGGTAGTCATCCAACAATAACTATCATCAATAATATTCATTGTTTGATAGGGACGTGAAAGAGGTAAAACGTCTTGTGAAATTTTCTTAAATTTAATTGTAGCAAGATTTTCATCAATAACTAATGGACGAATATCACATTGAATATATGGCAAATCATTTAAATTTTTTTCGATTAATTTAATTGTATCTTTTAATAAGTATAAATCGTCTTGTTTTGCATTTTGTTCTCGTATAAAATCATTAATTTTCAATCGGAAATGATCGATTTCTTTTCTTTGTTTATCCTCAGTTTCTCTTATAAATTGTTCAAAATTTCGACGTTGTGTCTCATAGAATTGATCAATTGTATGATAAGCATCAACACGCCATTTATCAAGAGACTTGAAAAAATATGGTTCAACAACTGACACATGATGAAAACGATCCGATAGAACATTGATTTCACTAATTAATGAATTAAGTTGACTATCACTTTGTCTACCAGCATGATCTTTCAAATGTTCCATACATAAATATTTATTACAACAATCACATATAACCTGTGATGAATTTCGACATCCAGGATTAGAACACGACCTTGGCGAAATGGAAGAACGCATTTTTTTTCTATTCTAGGTAATCAAAGTATATAAATATAGTTTTGTTTGAAAACGACGAAGAACAACAATATAATGATGTGTGCAGTGCAGATATATTTATTCCCTTTCACTCTCTCTCTCTCTCTCTCTCTCTGTTTTTTTTCTTTACAACACAATGGACGACAAATGACTTTTTCTCTTTTTCTTTTCATCTATTCTATTCTTTGTATCATACAATGCATTGTGAGAAAAAGAACTTCTTTAGAATTACATGGGATAAAAGAGTTCGATGTGATTTTAAAACGAAACGTGACTCAAATCTTGGCTTACTTTACGAAAGAAAAGACGAAATTTACAAAACTAAAAATAGATTTTTTAATTTTGACATATATATGAAGAGTTTTTATATAGTTAATCGAATAAAGATTTAAAATAGAAATTGTTTTATTTGAACGACGAGTAATTTAGTCAACGTAGTACTTAGTAATTACTGAACGGATCATTTTTTTTTTATTTCTTAAATTTTACCTGTTTTGGTTTTAGTAAAATGTACAATGAAAAAAAAATAATGAATCTAGTCTCACATTAGAATTATTTAAAAAGCCGATATTCTAGTAATTAACTATGTATTTAGTATATTTAAATCTCAATTCGATATTATTCTATGAGATTATTTAACTAGTCAGTCAACTATATCTAAAATTCGTTCTGCAGTTTTTTTCACGATTAAATGCTAATAAAATCATGCAGTCTGTTCGTTAAGATAATGTTCAACATGCCGAACAATTGTAAGTCCACTTTCCAGCGCTCCATCAATAAATCCTCGCCAACCATTTGCTGTGTCACTACTTGCGAAGAATAGTGGTGGTTCATTTTCCTGTAATGTTAATAAATTTGATGTTACTTGACCTGGTCGATACCATCCCCATGTGCCACCAGTCAACGGATCATTTCGCCAATCATGTCCAATAATATATTTGATTTTAATATCAGGCAAAAATTTGTTTAACTCAAATTTAACAGCATTTAAATCTTGAATATCAATTAAATCCTCCATTCCAAATCCAATAATAATTGAACCATCTTCGTCATCAGTAAAAGCCATCGTTATTGGATTGGGATAAGGAGCGTAACCGCACCATTTTCCAATTGGTTCTTCAAGTTTAACAGCAAACTTACTACCACCACGACATTGTCGTTCATTAATGGCACGTTGTTTTTCAGATTTTAATGGTGGAATAAATTGTGTCTTGTACAATGTATTCAATGGAATAGTAATAATTGTTGTACAACCAGCGTATAATTGTCCATTTTGTGTGAGAACTGTAATATTGTTATCATCTGTTCGATTAATAGAAACAACTGGAGTAGAAAGTAACAATTGAACATTGTGACAATCATTAAGCATGGCTTGTGCCAATGCAGTTGTTCCTTCGCTGATTTTATATCGACTAGTTTTATCGAATAATCGAAATGTTTCATAATCGCCAAGTGCCCACCAGCGAATATGATCAATAAAACCACTTTCCGAAAGTCTACACTGTGAATTCATTGAAAGATATGCATCCATAAATTCATACATTTCTTTACTAAGTGTCGATGAAATTTGATCTAGTCGATCTTGCATTGACAATTTATCATAAGTTTGATTGATTTCTTTGGCAGCAAATGGATCGTGTGGTAAAGGAAGAATAGTTCGTCCTTGAACTCCATCAACATCACTATATGTATTCATAACTTCACAAACTTCTGTAAATAAATCTGATGTCGATGCCATTTTTAATCGAGAACCGTTATCAAATAAAAGACTAAGACGATCAGCTGTTGCACCTTTCGATTCAACAATTGAAAGACCATAACGTGTGATTTCAGCCCATACATGAGGTTGACTCCAATGTATCCATGTACCACCCATTTCATATTTTTCATTTTCAAATTCAGTTGTAAATGTTCGGCCACCGATTCGATCTCGTGCTTCAACAAGTAAAACTTTTCGATTTTTTAGGCTTAGTTCACGTGCAGCCATAAGACCTGTAAATCCAGCGCCGATAATTATTACATCAAAATTAGTATTGGCTACTACGGTTGATGATGTAATAGTAGCAGTTGTATTCAAACCACTTTTCAATCCACTATTTGCATGATGAACAAAACCATCTTGTGTACGATTCATTATTTTATCCGACGTAGTTGTCATTCTTCTTTATTTTGTACTAACTAAGAATCTTATTCAATTGTTACACGATGATAACACGACGAAAGAATAAAGCGTTGACTCCGTTGTTCTTATCAGTCTGTACATTGGACTTATTTAATGTGTACGTTGCATTTTATCGAAATATTTAGAAAAAGGCTAGCATAGATATGAATAAATACTCGTAAATTATTTATTATTTTCTCTATTTGAGAAATTCATTTAACTACATCATGATTTTATACTTTATTTTTTAAAGCATTCTTTGTCCATGTAAACTGTGCTCATTGAATGTAGATATTTTAAATTGATTGATGTATTAATATATCTGAGAAAATGTACTTAAATTTAGCATTAAATATTCTACATGGAAAATAATATCTACACTATCTGTTTCATCGATGATTCTTGCTCTCGTTATTTTATCAAATCGAAGACATCAATTGAAAAACGCAATAGCTACCAGTGATGGGATCGGTTCGTGTTTTTTTCGAACCGAACCGATTAAAAGATAAAAAAAACGTTTGTCGATTTCTGCTGTTTTGTTTATAAAAATATTCATTTATAACAATTTATTGAAGACGTGATTTTAATACTTTCGACAGTTCTAAGAATGACTTAGAAAACTGAGCTACTGACAATTTTAAAAACAAACATTTTCGCTTTTATCTTAGAAATATTTTTCAATCAGAAATGACTGCAGTGCATTTTAGTGGATACCCAATTTTTTTTTGTTAATCAAGAATGAATCACTACATTTTTGTTCGTCGTTCAGTGTAAAGAGTAGAATTTGTTTCAACTAGCAGGTTATTATTCATTGAAGGACGTTGTGTGAGAATGTCATATAAAGTAGGTTTTGAGAAATAATCTATATGTTACACTTTCCAGTCTTTGTTCTGTACTTTTCTAGTTTACCATTTCGGATTGACGAAACACTTGAAAATAGTAACTTAATGATGATGGGAAACGCATCTATTGAATAGGAAAAAATTTGCCCTTCAAAATATAACGATTTTATCAAAAGTTTAAATTTTATTTCGTTTTTTACAGTTTGAGGAGTAATAACCACTATGACTGGCTAAACTTGAAAGGTCTGAAAATCTCAGTAAAATTATCCATTTTTAAATATTAGTTAGATACTTTTTTTCTCACTTTCTTGTTGTATGTTAAAGATTATTTTAAAGTTCAAAACAGAGCGATGTTTAATTAGTGAATTAAAAACTAATACAAATTGATAATCAATTAATATTTGTTTATATATATATATATGAGTGCTTTTCTACTAAACTGTTGCCTGTAAACGTATATACTGAGAGATGAGCAAAACTATTACTCGTGTCTGAAGATTTATGAAGCAGTTGGTTAAATCATAAAAATGTGCTATACTGTCTTCAAGCTAAACTAACTCATCAATCATTTTACTTATTTTATTCAAAAATATTGTGAAGCTTTCGATCTTGTTCAAACAGTCATTATCAGCACTAATTTTACATGAAAGAGAAATACTCATAATTCATACAACAATTTCTATTCTTATTTTTATTTTTTGTTCTGTTATGAACATTGCACCGAGGAAACGCATTTCTTCCCTTCGCAATACAATGTGCAGAATAGAACGAAAAATAAAAATTGCTCTATATATTATATGTAATTTTCTTTCTTCTAAATTTAGTGTTGATAATGACCTTTTGAACGCAGTCGACAGCTTCACAATATTTTTGAATAAAATAAACATAATGATTGATGAATTAGTTTACTCATTTATATTTCATCATACGATATAGATATACTTTGTTCATTCACTTTCAGTGAACAAGTTAAAAAATATATTAGAATATATATCTAAAAGAAATCGGTTCCGAACATTTGGAACCGAACCGGTCCCATCACTGATAGCTACTGTTGAATAGAAATGACATATAAATTTAGTACATTATGAAATCAAACTTGGTGCTAATTCAAAAAGATATTCTTGTCAACGGATCACCATTTAAGATTTGATATATGTGTGACCTTCGTGTTTATCAAATTTATCCATAGAACTTGTTGAATATTCTGAATCGATGAGATATTGTAAGTAATGTAATTTTATGCACTTCATTACTAGTTTTGAAACTGACTGTTAGTTTCAATGTTTATTAAAAGTCATTATCTTCTTGTAATAGTTTCGACACTGTTGAATCATGGCCAAGGGGGAACAAACTGATTTCTAGTGATTTCCAGCATTAGAAATCAGTTTGTTCTCCCTTGTTATGAATCTTCTATTCTTGCTCTTCGTGCTGGTGTTAGAGTTTCTCTTCTCTAAGTTTGTTCTGTCAATATATATATACGTGTATGTGTATAGGTGTACGTGTACACACGATCTTTATTTCATAGGAATGAATAGCCAAAAAATAGCGATAACATGTATATGTCTATAACAAGAAGAGAAGAGAAAATATCAATAGTGATTACAGAAGATGAGAGAAGATAGAGGATATAAAGAAAATAATGCTATCATATCAACGTGCGACATCACTGTAACAACTGGTTTTGATGTTATTCTTGACAAACCCATGTGTCATTCATTGGAACAAACTCGACATTTGCCTCGTGCTGTTGATGAGACTGGCCGTTCGCTTTGCTTAACACATACGTACACAGACTATTCGATGGTCAAACAAGTCCGTCAAATGATTTTACGCTATGATATTGGTTTAGTTCGTAAAGTGTATGTTGAATATTCACAAGGTTGGCTGAGTCATGACAATGTAAATTCGAAACAAGCACAACGGCGTCTGGATCCTAAACAAAGCGGCCCATCAGGATGCTTAGGTGATATCTGTGTGCATGCTTTTAATTTGACTGAATATGTTGCTGGACTTCAAGTTACTCATGTATGTGCAGATTTACGCTCAGTTATAGACGGTTGTCAACTTGATGATGATGCTAGTGTACTCTTACGTTTCAATAATGGAGCAAGTGGCGTTCTGATGGCTTGACAAGTATAATTTTATTTATCTAGAGTATTTTGATAAAAATTATTCTCCCTTGTTAAGATATGTACAGAGCAAGAAAATAATTTAAAAATTCGTGTTTATGGTGCCAAAAGATTCAATAGAATGGCAACATACGGATTGTAGTATAGTGGTTGTTCGATGGTTCGATAGTCCTGGGGAAGTTTATTGTGCTGGTACACAATATCTTTCACAAAAGACAATGCACAATACACGAATACCTGCTGGTCATCCTGAAGGTTATATTGGAGCATTTGCTAATATTTATCGTAATTTTACACGAACAGTTCGCGCAAAAAAGAATGATGAAGAATGTTCATCGAATGAATTAGGAGATTTTCCTGATGTTAAAGAAGGAGTTCGTGGCATGGTTTTTATTGAAACTTGTGTCGCTAATGGTAGAAACAATAATGAAAAATGGATTGAATTGAAAGAATAGTTCAATGCCTTGAGATTACATCTATTATATTTGAAGTAAAATGATTTTATCAGCCATTTTGCTTGCCACTAAATATGTATTGTACGAATATTACACAGATGGATACCGTTTCAAGTTATTTTTTAGAATTTTCCATGTGAATTTTGAAATTTATAAAAGGAAATCAATATGATTTTTCTTAAGCATTTTTGAAAGACTATTGCAATCCAAGTTTGCATTCATTCATATGCCTACGATCACAAACACGTCATTTTCAATTCTTTATTTTTCAAGTGTAAATTTGATGTATGAAACAAATTTGAAATGCTCTCTACACGATATTGACACAATCGCCATAACTACACAATCCTACTAAAAAATGCCATGGAAAAGGTGTTTCTTTCAAGTCAACACACTGAATATGTGTTTTATCTGTTCGTTCATTATATAATTCAATTTGATTTCTATCACAATTGAGGATAAGCTGTAGAATATCCCCAAATTGAAATCGATCATCTACCGATTGACTTTTAATATCGTCATGATAACCGTGCACCCATATACTATTGTCTCCACACCAACCAATCGTTGCTGGATCGCTCCATAATCTTTGATCTAAATCTGCATTTGATGTTGTGATACCAAAAAATAGTGCTTGAGGTGATCTAGTTTTTTCAATTTTGAATCTAATCGTATTTCGACTTTGAGAATACTTCTGTTGACCACGAATTCTTCCGTATCCTTCATCGTCACCAACATATGTGCTACGCATCGCATTACAGTCAAGCTGAACCGGACCACATATGAGACAGAATCTATCATCGACCTTATATGATAATTGCTTCTTCAGGATTTGATTGGCAGCACTGTCTGCTTCAATTTTTATTGTATAAATAGGCGAACGTTTGTCTTTGATTAAATTGCATGAAATCGCTGAGTCGATATTATTTTTCAATTCACTTAATTGTGTTCGCCATTCTTCTAAATCCGTTTCCGAAAAATCTTTTGTCTTACTAGCGGACCGTAGATTAACAGCTATATCAGTACAGATTTTTGATAACCGCTGATTTGTTTTCTCGATCAATTGTTGAAGATCATTTCGAGCTCTTTCGGCTGCTATTTGAATTTTTTCTATTGACTTTATTTCCCAATTGTTAATTTTCTGCAGAAGAACATGATCAGAAGATGATTGCGAAAGTTGTTGTTGAATTGAATCATGTTCATAGATAACGATTTCGAGTTGATTACTAAGTTCTGCTTGATGTTCATTGACATGTCGGATGCAAAACATATTTTGACACCCGTCGCAAATAAATAAGCCACTAACACCTTGATTATCAACACATTTAGCACAATACTTTCTATTTTTTTTATCGGTTGTCATTGATTTCAATATCTCATTTATCTTGGAAAAAATGTTGCGTTTCGTTTTTTAAGTTTTTTCTCGTTGGTTGGCGAGGTTGCTTTTTTCTATTCAGGAGAAAAGAACTGAAAAAACACAAAGACTCGTTTCGAAAACAGACAGAACTGAAAATATGCAGTGACGTAATTAGAAGGAAAAGCACATGGTTATTGTAAAATAAGAATAATGTTTTATCTAAAAGAACGAGAAGAAAAATAAAATAATATAACAATCAGGATTGAAATTTAACGTTATAATCTGAAGGGTAGATTCTTATGATTTAAATGCATATGCAACTAAACTATCAACGAAAATCTATTATGAAGTCTTGTAAGATACAAGATACAGACAAGTAGAAGAGTTGCTGATCTGATTTCTTTCTATAATTTTATTAACAATAGAAAAGAAAACTGTCGTATTCATTAGATTTTATCACAACTGTTTTGGTTATCATATGTTCAATAGTAAATGTAAACTGTCAAAAAGGACAGAATATTGAATTTTTAAATTTATGTCGTGCCCACAAATCTTTTGCTGAAATAAGACTAGCTTGACGAGTCAAAATAGGTGATTGTTCAATACAGGCTTCATTCATATTTTTTTCTTCCAATTAACATAATTTATAATTCACTTTCTTGTAAACGTATCAGAAATCGTTTTCGTCGATAAATCAATGTTGGATTATTCAATAAGAATATTGTCAGATGCCATTTGTGTTTTGCTTCTGATAGTCGTTGTGTTGCTGCCGAATAGAGATGACCACGAAGTAGATGACTAACAAAATAAAGTAAAACCGGATGGCGATGAGCGCATTCAACATAAATAAATCCACAATAGGCACTAAAACCTACATCTATACTCTCGAGCTTCCGTCCTAGTGGCGAATAATCCAGACGACACATGCATATGATTCCACGAACGATACTTCTCAATATACGTAGTGTGGAAGCAATAAAACCCAGAAAAGCATCGAGAAAAAAAATTAAAATATATCAATACCGTAAATGCTCGACGATTGTTAATCGATAAAATATCTCCTTTACTCAAGAATTTGTTTAAATATATGTTAAAAATAACGAGTAGACTAGTAGGAACAATAATTCTGAGAGTAGACTCAAGGAATTTTACACTTCCATATGTGATGAATGCAACGATTGACATTATAATTATAATAAATGAGGAAACATCGAATTCGCATCCGATTGTTACGTGTACTGCAAAAAATGAGTCGATTTATATATGTTTTGAATAATTCTGAGCAAAAACAGTTTTTTGAAAAATCCCTGTATCCCCCTCCGTCAGGAATGATCTGGTCAATAATGACAATTTTTTCGATAACTCAGCCATTTCTTGACGGATCCTTCTCATCTTCGAACTTGACTGAGATATTGATGAGATCATTCTGTGTACAAAATTTCATGGCAATCGGATGAGGCTTTCAAGAGTTATCGTGTTAACGGCCGGACGCACTGACCGATTCTATAGTGTACTCACTTTTTTTTGAGTACACAAAAAAAGAAGAATATTATCCAGGTTCAGATAAATAATAAGTTCATAGTCCAGAAAAGTCTGAAAAGTCTTATCAGAATTTATTTCATATAAATATAGATATGAATACTTGATTTCTTATAAAGCAATGCTTGTGTAAAAATTTTAGTAATAATAATCGGTTAGAATATAGTTGAGCAATTAAAGAGTTGCATCTGTATATTATTGCTTGCGTAAGTAATGAGAGGAAAAAAAGTTATTTTTCGCTTCATAATCGTTTAAATCAATCCGATATTAACAATTGGTTTATAGGATATATTTCAAAAGAACAATAACATTTACATTTAGTCAAATTTCATTGCAAGATTGCCGTTCAAGATTTGATTATTATTTTTGAGAGTCGATCCAATTTCGATTAGTTGAAATTAATTAACGTACAGTTTTAAATATCCAAAAGTAATGACAAATATTTTTCAAGCTTTTTAGATAGAAATATTTCTAACATCTAGTAGAGTCTTATGATCTATTCAAGATTATTGAAAGTACTATTTAAAATTTAATTGCACTAGCATGTATAAGTAAGTAACATATTGAAAACTTATCTAGTTAAATGAAATTTTATTTCAGAAAATCGAAGCGTTCAATAATATTTGTTTCAATTAAAATTACAAGATTGATGATTCAGTCAACGAATAAATACTTTCAAGAAACAATAACATCAATATTTATCTGAAGAAATCCATGAATAAAATTGAATACAAAATGTCTTCTAAAAACTAATGAAATATTTGTCTTCACGATGTATTCAATTTTCCTTTCTAATCATCATATCTTCCCACCATTAAAATTGATAGAACAGAAGTATGAAAAAAAATCTCACTATTATCTCGAAAAGAACAAGAAGAATGTTGACAAAATATCACTTATTCTCTCACTTTATGTGTGCTTTCTTGCTTGCAACACAGTTTTGATAAGATAAATATAATAGCCTTCAACCAGCATTTGTATTCTACAACGTAACTGCAGTCAAATTGAAAATAGTTTTTATTGGTGCAAATATACCGATATTTTATATTCGATAAAACAAAAACAATGAATAACGATGGAGAATTTCGAAACGAAGAAAACGAAACATCAGATGATGATAATGTGACAAATCATTCGCGTGTTTTAGAACAAAAACTACAAATTTTACGTATGTGAAAATATATTTATATAGAGATCACGATTAAGAATTGAATTCATTTGTCTATTTAGAAAATTCAATGGTTACTAAAACAAAATTTCTCAAACAGCTAATACGTGATCAGAACGATGAGTCAATAATAGATGTATCAGGGCAAAAATTAACTGATACTGATATGGCAACTATTGTTAAATATGCTATTTATGAAAAAGAATGTACCGGTCTTAATTTATGGGGAAATAGATTTACAGCTGCAGGTATTTCAATTCTTGTTGACGCATTAAATGGAAATAAAGCAATAAAAGAATTAGACATTTCATATAATCAATTATCGGATGACGGTGTGCAAATGATATCCAAAGTTCTTTCATTAAATAATTGTGTACTCGAAGACATCGATCTTTCATCCAATGATATTAAGGATAGAGGTGCCAAATACCTAGCCGATATGCTTATGAAAAATCGATCACTAAAAGTACTTGTATTAAATAAAAATGATATAACCAATGTTGGATTGAAATTATTAGCTGATGCTCTTGATTGTGATAATAAAACACTGCAACAATTAAAACTTGAATCAAATCAGTTCATCACAGAACAAGGTGTTCATTCTTTATTTCAATTATTAAGACATAATACAAATTTAAATGAGTTGTATGTACGAAATTGCAGCATTGCCGATGGCGCTTTAAAAGATCTACAAACGAAGGCTATTGAGTCTGATTCGATACGAGTTGACATTTTGATATGAAATATTCTATGACTAAATTGATTATTTATTTTATTTTCCATTGCTTTTTTTGTGAAGTGTATGGATAGATCATTCAGGAAAATACATGATTATATCTATTTTATTTTATTTTTCACGAATGTTTCGATTACAACTTATTCCCAATAAATACTAATTACATCGACAGGTTGCTCATACTGGTATTTTATATGAACATATTTTATTTGACCTCATGAAAACTATAGAATCGCCTCACGTGGTTGATTGAACGACTTCAGGCAATCAACTTAGTCCTAAATTTAGGTTAGACTTCGCATACTTGTGTTTAATGTATTTGAACTTTAGGAAAGCGGTTAGTTCTCACGAGTAGGAAATCTGACTATTTTTTATTGATCTTAGCATATCGATGTAATTGTATGCGACCAATCTGTGCTTGAAACAGGTCCCATTCAATCGTAAGTAGATTTTCTTTTTCTTGTTCATCTTTTTCATGATATACAAATAACAGAATAAGAGAGTAAATGTTTTCTATACAATCCATCATACGGACGTCGAAAGAAACAAATTTTATGTTATATCATAGCTGTTTTTGTTGTAAGTTTAAAAATTAAAATCTTCTTCATGTAATAAAACGTTGAAACTTGAATTCAAGTATTATTGGTAATCATATGTGTGACGATTTTTGATAGAAGAGATACCTGTGTTGATGGTATTACACTTTATTTAACTCTTCAAATCATAAATCGCATCGATTACATATAAAGCAACACACTTAAATACTCAACCATTTGAGAGAACGAAGAAGAAGGATAGATAAAGACAAATGTAAAGGACAGAAAGATAGAGGCAATAGGTGTGATGAGAATAAATGGCACCATAACACCAAATCTTATGTATAGGTTACACTCGAACGAGAGCATTACACCCCCGGATGGAATTTGGACGCTCTCTGCATATAATCGTTACAATATGCATAGTTTATGTCTATTACTCTTAAAGTATTAGCTACTTTTGTATCACAGCTATCTTCGGGATAATGTCTTTAGCATAGATGTGTGTGCGTGTCGGTATTGGTACAATAAATTGATAAACTTCTAAAGCTTCTTAATACATTCTAATAACATGATCAAATGGATTACCTATACTTGTCGTTTCAATATGCTTTTGCAATATTCAACCTGGAGATAATATAGGTGTCAGGAAAAAAACTATGTTATTGAAACAAGAAGAAACCGGTCTGAATAGAAATTTAATTGAAATCTTACTGTATTGTTTACTATATCTTTATCTTGCTTCGTATTGTAACTTATCTTTTTTTTTTAAATTTATTGCTCTTATTGCATTATGTGAATTTGTTGAAATGGAAGTGGATTTCTACTTGTGAATAGACTGTTTACCATACTGATATACATAAATCATCGTTTGAATTCTCATCGCAAAAGGTACTAGATTAAGAACATGAAGTAAAAGAAAATGAACAAGATTTTTCTATTCTACGAGAAACTATTCTATTTTCTTTTTTACTTATTAGGACATGGGTATTAAATATTCGACAATAAAAGACTAGTATCCAAGCCGCTGCTCAGTACCTTCAAGTAGTGCAAACATATTTTAAGTTTTTTTTTATTTTTGTAAAAATATGTATGGTCTATCTTGTAAATCATATATAAAGGTGGCGGTAGTTCCTGTATTTTTGATTAAAAATAAGTTGAGCAAATACATTGGGTTTTTTCCAACATGCAAGTACTTGGTTTGTTCCGTTTTTTTTCTTTTCTGCCGTTAAATACATACTTAAAAATGGCGTTATTCTTCCTCATTCTTTTCCCCGTTTGATTGGAGTAAGTAACACACTTGCCTTATTATTCGATCTTAAAGCAACATTGAATTATATAAAATATTCCATGACTTCATTTGAACTCATCGTAATCGTTTTCGGTTCCACAAAAAGTGTATCAAATGTTAATTTACGATTTCCAATTTCATTTGTATTTGCTACTGATGAATCATCACTAGAAAATTTGATTACCACCGATCCACCATCGTTTGATACCTGTTTACGACGATATTTTGTTCTTCTTCTTGACACAATTACTGATCAATTTTTCGATTGTCTTCATATGAATCATCATGTTCAAATAGTTTACAGTCAAAATAATTTTATTCATGCTCAGAACCGACAAAAATTACGTCTTATCAGAAATAAACAATGGCAACAAGTTACACTCGACTTAACATCTGATATCGTGAATTTTCTCACAGTTGAAGGAGAAAAACAAGCGAAATTAGAACAAATATCATTGGCTCAAGTATACTATCGTCAAGCACGGTCGTTAAAAGAATGGGCAATGTCATTTGTCAAAGTATAAAATATCTTATAAACATATTTTCTTCACCTTTTTTTTAAAGGCTGAACCCTGTCATATTCTACTTATTCCATTGAATAGCAGTGAAGACAACGTAAACAATACGTATAAGGATTTACACAGAATTTGTAAGTATACAAGAAAAATATACATTCCCTAAAGTCAATATTCATTGTTACGCTATTTTATTGAATAAGAAAGTTTCTCTTTTCATAAGCGAGTGCTTCATAACGATATTATAGTGTATTGATCATATTATCTCTTCAACAGCACATGCGCACCGATGTTCGAATCTTCTAACTGTTGCATTGGATAGTCTGATTTTAAAATCCACTTGTAGTGGGTTCTTCCGATGCACTGTTCTGATAGAACATATTTTGCTACGTCATTAAAATAGTGACACCGCGCAACGGTTTCAACTTTTTCTCTGTATAATTTACTCATTATCATTTAAAATTGATTATATGAAATCACTATATAATGTTGTGTTCCGATAGATGAAATGGTTACATAGATATCATCGTTAATATTACTCTTCTTTCGTATTGTTTTGAAGTTATTTTAATATTTACTGAGATATTATCAAATAAAAAGAAGTAATTATGAATAATTGAAACACGTTTAATAACTTCAATTCTAGGTGCGGAACTAGGTTACCCATCAATCATCGTTCGAAAACTTGACGAATATATTCCTATAGGTGACATAGAAAAACCCTCTCTGATGCCTTATAGCTCAGCTTTATTTCATAATGAACATCCAAATTATATATGTAAATTAATTAAAAACTTATCACCATTGAGATTCTATTTATATGGAAATGAGGATTGTATTGCAAGCGGCTGGAGTAATTTGATGATTGCTGGAGAAGTTCAAGTCATGGACGACGAAGATAACTGGTGCGCATTTCTTGAAAATGAACCCATTGATAATGAAATCAAATGGAACTTTGGAACTATGTTTGGAGAAAAATGGCAAGTGAATCGTATAACGCCAATATGTTTAACTGATTTGAATGGAAGTCTTCGATTTCAATCAGCGCTTCGACGCGCTGTTAAAACAATTAGTCAGCATCAGATTGAAGTGACTTCATTAATTTTTGAATGGTATGATAAATGTATTCGAGATGGTCATCTTCAGTTAGAAGTAAAATCAATTTGTTTTTAATCATTAATATAGTTTACTTCTGTTTTTAAACAGCCTAAACTGACCAGTCAAGACGAAGACAAAATCACTAGAACAAAAATTGAAGCAGGCAGAATATTCTACGAATGCAGGTTTCAGTATTTATCTACTTTGCCTCAAGTTCGTCTAACCTCGAACATGAAAGGAGATTCATTTATTTGGCTTGGAGAAATATTGAATCATCCTAACAAGAATCTTGATGAAACGATTGCACCATCGAAATGGAATATTTTCAATGAAATATCAATTTGTATACCATACATTGAAATTCAGTTGAGAGAAGAAAAAAGAATTTTTCTTGTTGTTTCCGGTTCACTTGGTCACACATTATTTATTACAAGTTTTCATTTAATGTCACTAATTCCATATATTTATATTTATTGTTCTTCATTCGATTTATATGTTAATTGGGCAAACTATTATTCGGGAATTCGAGGAGTTCATGCAAATGCCAGAGAGCTTGGCAAACAAATAAATCAAGATTTGAATAAATTTTACCCATTTAGACCTGCCACGAATAATCACCAGTATACTTCTAAGGTGCAGTACCAGGTGAGAATTTTTAAAAATTACAGAGCCTACCGAAAGTTTGACTGTTTGATATCTCAGAGACATTCCAGTGAACCGCTACATATTGTCTAGCAAAGAAATTTGATTTCGTCTTTCTTTTTTCTAGAACTAAGAAATAAGTACCTTTGATAAATACTTTTGTCTTTTGAGATCTATATTTTGTTAGCACAACTAAAATTATTTGCATAGCGCAGTTCGAACAGATTGCTGTAGATTTTCTACAATTGTTTTCAAATCGAACTTAGACTTGAATTTGTCAGTAGATCGTACTTGCAATTCAGCACATCATCAAAGTAAACTAACTTTTCGCTTATTATAGACATAAATTGATTGAATCGTGTTGGATTAGCGAAAGATCAAAGATTCAATTTACTATCATCTCATAGCAGAAATAGATATCATAGATCTTTCAGTATATGTGCAATTTTTTAAATTCTATAATAACGTTTATTTCCCGGTGGATTTGAAAAATCAAAGAACAACTCAATCTTTAACACTTTTATTACAAATTGAATGATTTAGGACTATTTTCAAAATCATAATTCAACATCGACAACTTCCTTATCATCATGGTTTGTCTTTTATAATCCAGAGCAATCACACATTTTCCTAGCTCACCAACGTGAGATTGACACTCTTCTGTGTATGCCGCATACAACTCAATCTCGTGATGAAATGTTGATCGAATTTCGCCGAATTTGTAAGGATGATAACAGAGCTCTTAATGAAATTAATAGACTCGAAAAAGAGTACGATTCAAAGGATGCGGTTTATTGGTATTCACGTGAATATTTTCTTTACCGAATAATAAATCAAGCGCTGCGAAACAATGATGTGGAATCCATGTTTAAAATGAGATACTTTCTTACGGATCTCTATGCACAACTCACTGAATTATGCACACAGGATCACGTGCAGAAGCTATTTGACCAACGCAATGGAATAATGGTGTATCGCGGTCAGCAAATGACTAAAGCAGAATTAGAATACTTTCGAACGATTCAAGGTTGCATTATAGCCACTAAACCATTTTTATCAGCAACTAGATCATTTGCTGTTGCGAGTCTGTTTGCAGCGACATCAGAAGGCCCTGATATAACTCAAGTAATATTCTGCATTAAAATAGATCGATTCTATGAAAATTTTAGACCATTTGCCTATATTTCTCAAGCTGCATTCATGCCCGAAGAAGAAGAAGTTTTATTTTCTATGGGTAGTTTATTTCGTGTTCAATCTATTGAAACATTAATCACAGAAGAAAATATTTCTGTGATAAATTTAACATTGGTGGAACCAAGTGAATTGGCAAAAAATAATTTTTTCATCAATAATCCAATTCAATGGTCAACTAACCAGTATTGAAAATAAACTTTTTTTTCTAGCAAATTCCTATAATTCTACCGATAACACTGTTCGATTTTCATTCAAGCTTGTATTTTTCAGAGAAAACTGCTTATCAATAAAGCAAGCGAAAAAACAAGAAAATTTTACTTTCAATTCTTCTCACGTACAGTATTCACATTAGGGCTTTTGTCTCTGATTCTTTTCATCTTAATTGAGTCAAGAGTTAACATAAAATGATTTCCTGTGCAAATTTAAATATAACATGCTATCCCCTATTTTATAATCTTAGTACTTACTCGTTTAGAATTCGATCTAAAACTAGTATTGAACTGTAGAAATTATAATTTGTATTTGACTCTTCCTGTTGTTGATACAGATCTTATTTCGAGAACAACTCGGTCTGGTATATGAAAAATGATTCCTTATTGTGTTCTACAATAGGCTAAGTACAATAAATATATTTTAAAGTAGATGTAAAAAAACAATCTTTAATGAAGTAAAAGTAGAAATGCTGCTTCATATTTGAATTCAATCGTGATCACTTTTCTCAACTCATTTAGATCTAAATTGAATCATTTTTCGGAGTACATCTTGATTTTTGTTCAGATAGCTAAATCATTATTTCTATATCAAACTGATAATTCTATCTATTCGAATACTTATACATTGCTAGATCTTTTCCATTAGCTTTGCTTTTAATACTCCTTAAACATCACATATTATTTTTCTTTTCTCATTGGTTGAGACACTGCATATGCTATTTAATAAATGAATAACGCCATCCTCAGTGATTGATTTGCGTTATTGACTATTCTCTTTCTGTGCCTATTGAATGTTAATTCATTTTATCCTTCTACTAATACGATTTCTATATAGCAATAGATAAACTATGTAGAGTCAAGTGTAATTAATCAAAAATCAAAAATACGAAAAAAGTTGATTGTGTAACCAAAATGTATCTAATAAAAAATAAATGTCTCCATGTGATGCAAGGTGCATCTTCATTCCTACGTGCGTAATACTACGTATAAAAACAACACGAATGACAAAAAACTAACAAAAATACATTTTAGATAATTTCACAGTTATTAATAAAACAGTATAACAAGTTCTCCATCTTCAAAACAAAAACAAAACAGTGATATTCTCTAGAAAATGATCAAGATTTCTTACAATCTTAATTATCAATTGTCACATTTAGAAAATTTACTTTTGCCGTTATTCAAAAAGTATTATGACAATGATAGTTTACGTGTTACAATTGAAAGTGCAAATCATATTTGGTGTGCATATGAAAATCATCAATGTGTTGGTTGTGCATTAATGACAGATATTGGTTCGTATGATGGATTGTATATTATTCTATTTGGTGTTAGTGAATCACTACAAAGACGTGGCATAGGAACACGTTTGTTAAAAAAGATTATTAAATGGTCTCGTAAAAATAAACATCGATTTATCTATCTTCACACAGAATATGATAATGAAAGTGCAATTAAATTATATGAGAAAGCCGGTTTTCAAAAACAATTTGATCATCCTGATTATACGAAAGAATTACCACAATTTGACTCTAATGTACTTCCAATGTTGTTGTTAATAAAATAAAAATTATTCAGCTTTTGTTAAGAATTTTAATATTCTTCTATCGTGTACAGTATATACAAATATAAATAGGGACAAGAGGAAACATAATATTCAACAGTGAAAATGTATGCACGATGAATTCAGCTTACGGTCCCGCTTATGCTAAAGTTCTTATCGATCAAGAATTCAAAATCCATTAGTACTTAGGATTTATTTCGTTGTCAAAAACATTTTCATATGCTCTGAAATTCGATAATTATTTTGAAGCCTTATTTTGGATAGATTCTCGTATATAGAAAAGTCTAATAGGCGCATTGGTTTGATTCATTAAGTAGTTAGTTCATTCATCCATCTTGGTTAACGTATTTGTCAGGGCATGATTTTATGTGAATGATTCGTATAAGACTTGAATATGTTTCTTGCTATACAAATCAAGATTGTGTACCGGCGACACCTACTAGACTAAATGTTGTTGCTTTCTTTTGTATATTAAACATTGACATCATTGAAACATATTGTATATTCACTTGTATTTTAACACTCTATTATCGGCAAATACTGAAAATGCATCTTATAAAATCGAATAGAAACTATTTGCAAAATTTATTACGTAGACGCATCAAGAAAAGAAAGTGTGCGAAAGAAGTTCAGTGTCTCAGTTGATTTTCATTTTTCTTCGAAATTATCTCATTATTAAAAATGCACAAATTCGTCAGTTCTTTTATGGCAAAGTTCATTAGAAATTCTTTATTATTACAGCTCTAGTATGACTGAAATATGGAATTTATATGTATCCGTTACTCTTGCTAAAATGATGCCAACTACTTTTAACAAAAAAATCGACTTTGCTCTTAAGATCTGTAATCAAGGCATTAACTATTTCCGTGTGTCTATGAGAAAAGTATGAACCGGCTTGTGATGTCTATCATGTGTAAATCTTACGTTTTTTTTTACACAGCTCAATAATGAAATTATGAACATCTGTAAAATGAAGGGATAAACCACAAAAACTTCCCTTGCCAATTTACATTCATGATTTACTTTCAAAATACATTTGAGTTCCGTAAACTTCGGTCTCAATAAATCAAAAGAGTAATATTGAACTATTCAGTATCAGTAAAGGAATAGTTGTGCGAAAACTTTATCGAACCCGATGAATTTGTTCTAACAAAAAATATAGATTCTTCATTTAATAATTAACTATACGATTAATTAGGTATCATCAGCTGTGTTCCAAGTGTTTGTATTCTTTTACTATAGATCATGCGAATCATAAAATACTTCCTGGTGAGACGGTCCAAAAAAGAAACACACTTATAGATACTATGACTATGTATTAACGAAGAGTCTTTATTAAAGCATATCATTGATTGCATAAAAAAAACATACCTCAGAACTTACTGATTAAAACGCTCGGAGTAACGACTATTTCCATTGTTCAAACTTAATTGGCTATAATGGATGAAAGTTAGATGAAAAAATAGTCTTTTGTCATACTTTTCTCGTTTGTCATTATTTCAACGTTTTTATATTCTTTTTATTATTATTGGCAGATGAAGATCTTTGACATTGATAGACATTAATATTTCTAATCTTTGAGATAATGTTCTTCTCAATCTCCACTTTATATATATAGCAACAAAGTGTTAAAAGTATTGATGAATAATTAATGAGCATTGAAAAATCACTCATGAAAATTCTCAAACACATTGTGGAAATTAAAAGTCATTTTTTTGACAAAGTCTTATATTTAGAGTACTTGACAAATGCTATAATAATGTTTACTATTACTAAAATGCAATGTAGTCTATGCTTGTCTTCTGCGTCTCGAACATCCAATTGTGGTAGCAAAATAATAAGCAAAGCGTTCGTTTAAATGATAAGAATCTCGATGAACTAAAATTTCCTACAAATATAATATTGAATTGATAGTCACAATGAAGATCATTTTATATAATGAAAGTCATCTAGAATTGATCTATACATATTAATATAGTATGTTTTTGTATAGAATATTCTTTTTTTTTTATTTCGTTTAAGAAAGAATTCTGTTGTTTTGTCAGCAAAGAAAAACATATTTTATTGAAAAATTTAATTTATGCGATTAAATAATACGATATCAAGCCCTTCACTCGAAAAAAGTTACGAATTTTTCTTTATCAAGACTTGAGTCCAAGAATAGATGAGTTGTCTAGTTATTGTTTTCTTCTATTTACCAATGATTACATTGATCCCAGCTGATTTTTAGATGCCAGCAGGGATGTACCTGTAAAGATAAAGAAAAGCAATGATTAATATGTTAAATTTTACTATAAAAACTTTGATGTTGTTTGAAAGAAATCTAAAAACAATATTGATGCGAAAATATTTCTCAGTGCATTAGTTCTTCATCCTAATTTTCTATTTAAACCATTTTTGAGCACGTATGAAAAGAATGCCCATTCATAAAAATTAGACTGGATTACAAACCGTTGCTTGTCGGCATTGTCGCACTTGTATATGATGATGTTTCTGCTGTTCTCATTTTTGTGATGGTCATTGATGTTGCATGACCAAAAGAAGCTAAAAAAGCAAACGGACGGTGGAAAACAAGTCTCATTGATATCTTTATGTAAAGTATTTTTAAAAAAAGCATCAATTATAATTTTACTAGCGTACCTTCTGTTGTTGATAATGCTGCATTCATCGTTGATAGGTCCTGAGTGTTCATCATCATGCTTGATAGATCTGGGATAGTCTGCATCATCGTTGATAATTCTGGTGTTTGCATCATCGTACTTCGTGTAGTCATATCACTGAAGTTTCCATGATCAGACACTAAATAAATTAAAATAATCTTCGTGAATTATAGAACATACAAAAACTGATTTATTTAATCACATATAGAACGGAGCATATACCTTCATGTGTTGATGAGAATTCCTTTTTCGTAAATATAGATTCCGAACTCATTTGCATTGTTGTTGCTGATCTTGTTGTTATTGTTGTTGCTGTTGCTGTTGATGCGCCTGAAAGTTTGTAAAAGTGAAAAAGAAAAAATTGCAAACAGAAAAGATCCTTTTTGGTTTGAATATGTAAAATATCCTACAGAATACTGATTACATACTTGACTTTATTAAATTTTCATTTGTTGTTAATGGAGCTGTTGAAACTGGTTTCATGGTTGCGTTTACAGCTATTGTTATGGTTGTTGGTTCTGTCATTTGTGTCCTACGCGTAACAATGATAGTCGTTGGAATGATAATTATCGCGATGATAACGATAGTAACAATAATAATAGATATAATCCATAACCTTTTTCTTCTTGTAGCTATATTTCTAAATGATTCACCTATATTAGTTAGATAGATTTAAAACAAAACGACGAGCTCATACTCAGCTCTTGATGATGAATTTGATGCATCGCTGGTTTCCACTGGCATTGGTAGAAGCTAAATGATTCAAAAGGCGAACATTGTTGATATAATTCAAATGGTTTACAATACTTGTCGAATTTTGTGTTATTTTATTTCAGTAAATTTTTGCAATAAAAGAAATGTAATGCATGTAGTATCGTTTTCTTTTTTTTGATAAAATGACCTATTAGTATGAACATTTTCTAATACTTGATTTTATATTTACTGATAATTGCTAATATTCTCCATCTGCTATTTTAATTAATACATTTCTATTTTTGAAACTGTATGTTCATGAAACACAATTGCCTGGAAAATATTAGCTATTTGCTCAACGATTATCCACCGTAAAAATATTATTGAAAAGCTTTCTGTGTATGTGTGGTTTTTCCATTTCCGTCTATTTAAAAAAACAAGAAAGTTCGTCATAGAACGCAGTTTAACGCCATGATCATATCACTATGTATATCGTGTTTATCTTGAAATAAAAAGCATGGTATACATTCAACAAAATATGTTTCGTAATATATAAAGCAAATACACGCAACGCTAAATGCGTTGTTTACACAGACTGTTAACTTTATTGTTTTTAAACTGTCTAGCGGCTGCATTGATTGATTGAGATCGATAGAAAATCGATAAAATTAATCTCAAATATTCAATAAGATACTGATGAAAGTTTACAACATGCCACAATTATTGTTTTAGTAAAGTTTGAATCATTTCATGTCAGTTTTTAGAGTGAAAGATCATTTATTTACAGTGAGTCGTTTTCAACTAGGTAGGAAGTCTAAAATGTGTGTATTGGTTCTACACTTTTACTCTTCGATGTTTTTAATAGGAATTGATCAATCATTTACGATGGACTAAATCGGTAGGTATTGCCAACATTCTGTTTTTCGCTAATATATTGGAACTAAATCGATGAAAATATATAACATCTGTATTCCTATCGATTAATAGAACAAAGAACTTTAGAAAACTCACAGAAACATATGGTAAAAATGCCGTATCTATTGACGTCATTTATGTCATATTTATTCTAAGGTTTTATACATAAAGGGAAATCGCAATGAAGGAATTTATAATGAAGCCGACAATTAATTATTGATAATATTTATTTATTATCAACAAGATATTTTATACCATTTACGATTGACTAATCGACAAAAGAAGTAAATTCAAGGAGCTACAGTTTTTTTAGAATCTATCAAAATTCATGATCTTGTTTTTGACCAAGAATTATTAATGCAGAAAACCACTTTTCACAGGTCTATCATCCAAACATTGCTATTTGTTACATGAAAATGTTCATTGTCTCTGCGAACATGGATGGGAATCAATTTCTGATAATATATATATATATATATAGAAAAACTGAAAGGCAATAACAGAAAAATGGCATCCGTCCATTTAAGACGATACATATTTCCTCTTAGAAAGCCTATATTGAAAACAAGATTGCATGTACTGATCATAGTACTACGCTTTTATCAGACTCGATAAGAAACATTGAAAGAGTGAAATACATCTGAGTAGCAGTAAGAATACAAATTAATCTATTCTTTAAATGTATACATTCGTTGTTGAATTTGTTGTTAAATACTTCTCCGATAAGTATCACTAAATCATGGATGTACAAGAAACGTATCCATCAGACTTGTTGATGATGGATAGAGTAGGAGTGTAAATGATGGCGCAAATAATCAACTAATCAATTATACATTTATGCATATTAGTCAAAATAAACATTGGCAACTAAATGTTTGCGCGAATGTCTAATTACCTATGAAGATGAGACAAGCTAAGTGACTAATGAAAATCGAATTGACGTTTAAAGAATGAAATTGATGACTTATGAATTATAAATACAATAGAATGAGAAAGATTTTTTAGCCATCTTTCTTTTAACTATGGGGCTCATACATTTGAAAAATAAAGATAAAGATAAACATTAAAATTATCTAACATGCATGTGCTATTTGTATTCGAAATAAATATTCGTCATACTCGATGAAGATGTCTCGCTGAAAGAAAGATAAACCAAAAGGTTTTTTTCTTATAAGCAATAATTTGAAAAAGAATAAAAATTTGAAGATATTAATTGTTGTTTTGATAGAATTAAAATAATACAAATCATCAGTGCCAACTGTATTGAAGGCACTTTTGTGAAATACTAATTTGTTATCGTTCAATTTCATTACTAATTATTAATAGCTTTTAACTTTGATGTGCTATAGAAATGTTTTTGTTTAGTGCATCGATAGTCTATTGCATGAAACTCAGATCTTTTTTCAATGGGAATCTATTTTTTTGTGTACTTGAGTATTAAAGAAAAGCACAACGATAAAAACAAAGCTTGAAACTTTCAAAAAATGTTAATCAACGTGAAAAATTGGACCGTCCTTGATAATCGAAAACGAGATCGGAACGTGTGTAATTTTTCTGTGCGATGCTTTTTTTCACGTCGAAAGTTCAACTGTTTTCTAAAAATATGTTTTTCATTATAAAAAGAACAATATAATTGCTATCTGTCGAAAACATTGCCTATGTTTTTATGTCTTTTGTAGCCTATCCGATTGACATTAATCATATGGTCAAAATAGACGACATTAACAGTACAATCAATTATTCGATAAAGATCCATATTGACAAAAAGTTGGAAAGTAATAGTTACATAAGATTACTGATATTTTGATATGGACCTTCTAACAAGAGATACTTTTTAATTAAACATATAATTGGTTACTTAATCTTTATTGTTATACAGTTTAGTTAATCATTGAAAGCCAAATATTTTGAAGGCAGATAAAAAGATTGGGTCTTTGAAATATTCAACTTAGTTAAAAATCGCTTTAAGATTATCAATCAATCATTGCATTGCTTCAAGAATCGTTTCTATTTCTCTTGGAAAAGCTAACTTCTTTACAAATAATTACAAGTTTTAGTACTGTGCTTTATAGATTTGCCACAACAAAAATTCTACTAATATGAAAATTGCATATTTCAAAAAATATTGCTGAAAAATTTCTACATGAAAATTATAATGAGCATTTATTTACTTCTGTTCTGATTTTTGTTTTTCAATGCTAGATTACATAGAGTTACAATGATGATACTTTTGAATTAAATCATCTGAAAAGAAGTGTTTTTACAGTTAAACGAGCAATCGTTCAATTAGGATAATAGTTTTAAATTCAATTGAATACTTGAATTATGATCAAATAAATTTAATTGATTATTATACAATTCTATAGATATTGTATTCGACTCAAATGTTTATAATCGATGATGCAGACTTTACAATTGACGGGTAAACGTCAAGATTATGTCTTAGTAATCACGAACAACCAAATGAAAAGACTCAATTTGAAGTCTATCTTGAATTATGTACATCGAATAAAGGACGAATGTGTCTGGAAAAAAAGCATACTTCAAGAATATGATCAAATCATGACAGAAAATTTTCAGTAAATAATAATTCAAAAACAGAAGTGCTTTTTTTTCCATATATTGATAATAATTTAAGGAATAGAAATATGATAGCATGGAAGCAATAATTATTTTACTGTTGCATCAGTTATTTTGAAAATATCGAAACATCATTTTAGTTTCGATCATCATATTAAAAGAAGAATTCTAATTTTAGTTTACGATTCTAAGTAAATAATTTTATTTTTTAAATAAATTTACGGACAGAAAAAAAACAATATTTGACGGATATTGAAAATGTTTTTTTTTTAGAAGATAAATATCGAGTAATAATACTATACTAGAATGTCTCAATACTAATTCAACATAGAGTAACTCTATCTAAAATGTTTAAATTGTTCAAAAGAGCTGCATCATGAATCGCCATACTAATTTATGGTTGAGATAGACGATCTTTTTGTTTCTGAATTTCTTTGCGTATATCTTGCGGTAAATCATCACCTAATTGTTCATCAAGCCATTTCAAGGTTTCATCAATATCGCTAGCCCAATAATCTTTCGGTATACTGATCAATTTGTCCCAATCAACATTAAGACCATCAAGATTAATGGAACCTTTCTTGGGTAAGAGACCAACAGGTGATACATCAGCAACATCTTCATTATTAACACGTCGAATAATCCAGTCAAGTACACGAATATTATCGCCTGGAGAAAAGAAAAAGAAGTTTCATTAGAATATGAAAGAAATATTATTTAAGTTTTCTTACCAAATCCAGGCCAAAGAAATTTATTATTTTCATCCAAACGAAACCAATTGACATGAAAGATTTTCGGTAACTAAATTAAGATCAAATATGATTTTTTTAAAACTGAATCAGAACAAAATTTTCATTGTACTTTGTTGTTTGGATCTTTTTCAAAATCAAGCCAATGTTGAATATAATGTCCAAAGTTATAACCAACAAATGGTCTAAAATAAAACTTTATTTAAAACAAAAGAATAAGTTTTTAATTGACATTTTACCGCATTGCAAATGGATCATGCATAATTTGTTTGCCAGTAAATTCAGCTGCTGCAGTTGTTTCAGATTTAAGCTGTGAAGCAAGAAAAACGCCATGTTTCCAATCGAATGCTTCAATAACTAGAGGAACACCTTCCGGTCTTCGTCCACCAAAGATAATAGCGGAAATAGGTACACCAGCTGGATCTTCCCATTTACTATGAATTATTGGACATTGACGAGCTGGACAACAGAATCGCGCATTTGGATGACTTGATTTTTTTGTTTTATCTTCTCCTAATTTATATCTTTCACCAGTCCAAGATATAATTTCCGTACCTGCCGGTGTTTCATCTTCAAGACCTTCCCAGTAGAATCCACCGTCAGCTGTTTCACCGACATTGGTAAAAATTGAATTTTTCAAACAAGTTAAAATTGCATTTGGATTTGTTTTCATATTTGTTCCTCTAGAAAATTTTATCAATTAAAAAAATTCATTTTCTCATAGATATTCAATGAAAAAAACGAAAACCTACGGTGCAACACCAAAGAATCCAGCTTCAGGATTAATTGCACGTAATTCACCAGTTTCTTTATCAAATCTCATCCATGCAATATCATCACCAACACATCGAACGGTATAACCCGGGATTGTTGGTGTTAACATTGCTAAGTTTGTCTTACCACAAGCAGATGGAAACGAAGCAGCGATGAATTTTTCTTCACCTTTTGGATTTGTTATTGACATAATTAACATATGTTCGGCTAACCCTATTGCATTTCAAGAATAAAAGAAAAAAAAGCGAAATTATACATTTTTCTTCGAACCAAATCATACGCACATCCTTCATCTTTGGCAATACGACCAGCAATACGTAAAGCGAAACATTTCTTGCCAAGTAAACTGTTTCCTCCATAACCTGATCCGAAACTAATTACTTTTCGAATATCTGGAAAATGCACAATCTAAACACATGGAGAAAAAAATGATCGTTTTTTTTAATTTTTTTTTAAGATAGTATTTAAAAAGAAAAGTCTATTGTATCAAGAAACACATCTTTTTTAAATGACTATTTTTCTGTCTAATTCGCTACACGAATTTCTTTGTGTCATTGTAGAAATTGCACTTTATGTGTTCAAGCGCTTTGTAATAATTCTTTTCTTTTCTTCATCTATATCATAATATTCTCTCATGGTGTCAGATGATGTGACGCATGAAAAATGTAAGAATAGCGACGAGTGAATTAAGCAAGAACACATATGTTAGTAATAACCGAACAAAAAAAAACGATTCTTCTCCAAGAAATAGAAAACGCTAGTGTTATCAAGAGGGCTAGGTAGATATGGCGCCATTTTACCACCGGAAGAAAAGAAAATAGAATAATTGCGATCCCTACAATTGCATTTCATGAACTTCCTCCGGAGATCAAAGAACATCATTCTATTAGTTTCGTCACAAATAGATATCAAAACTTCTAATTATCGATTTTAACTTAGTATTGAGACTGAAAAGAGTTTGATATTGTTAAATTGAATACCTTATGTTTAACTTACTAATGTTTTTTCAGGATTACATGGCCAATTATTAACAACCTTTTGCGTATGTGGACGCGGAAGACCTTAAGAAATGCAAATGTATTTTTTTATTGGAAACGAAAGATTTCTTCTTTTTTTCATAACTATCTTACCGACAGAGTGAAGACATTTAACGAATTCTTCATCATGTCGAAGATGTTTCCAAATCTCCGATGAAACACGAGTCATCACTCTCATGGAAAGTAATACATAATTGGAATCAGTAATTTGTACTCCAATTTTACTTAATGGTGAGCCAATTGGTCCCATACTAAACATAGAAGAGCCATTAGAAAAACGCTGTTAGCGCAATCCCTTCGGGATTCAAATGTAAAACACGACGTAATTGTTGAGGTGTATCATAGTCATTGCTCCACCTCTCTAGTCTTCCTGCATTTCTAATACCGTTTGTGATGGATCCAAAGCTTTTCTCTCAAGGTCTGTGAAGATTAATTCATCAATTAGACTGTAATTAGATAATTAATTAAAATGTTTTGGAAGGAATTCAAATTCTAGTCTTAACTCTTGAACTCTGCTTCACCGGTCTCTGGTGGAGGAATCACCTGCCTGTAACGGTCTGTGACGGGGGAATTATCTGTCGGTAACGGTCTGTGTGGGGGGGAGGGGTGCAAATTTCTACCCTAAACACTTCAACACTCCCTTCAGGTCGTGTTTCACAAACAGAAAGATAGCAAGGAACATCATATTTTTGAATAATAACCTGAATGGAATGACATAGAGCATTCGACCACCCATACATCCAGGAAGTCGATCATCCAGTTCTTTTTTCATATCGTCAGGTGACATCCATTGACCAAGAACGCATTTTACACCTTCTCGTGAATGTGGCACTGATGCATATTTTTCATCAGTAACAATAAATGTTTTTGATTCAACGCGAGCAACGTCCTATGAAGAAATAGTTTTTCATTGAGAATTAAAGTGAAACAAAATTTTCTTACCCGAGGATCAGTCCAACAAATATAGCAATTTTCATATTTTGTTAATTGTGTTAATGTACCACGTTCAACTAACTTATTTGTAACCATTTCAGCTTCTTCTTCGGATCCATCACAAATATATACAGCACGAGGTGTACATAATTGAATCTAAATTATTGATAAAAAAAATTCATTTTTCTTCAAAAACAAATTCCTTGTACCATTTGTGCAAGCCATGCTTGGACCTTTGAAGGAACCGATTGAAAATCACCTTTTATTACCGGTACATTACCGATCTTTTGAATTGAAACATAATGAACTTCAGCAAATTGAACGGGGATATCTTCCATTTTTCTTCAATCTTAACAAAATAACAGAAATAAAATAAAGTGATATTTCTTTTTAAAACGGAAAGAGTTTCTTTAAGAAAAAAGAAGTTGACTATTGTCTATATATTCGAGTATAGTTTGTGATTCTATATTTTCGTTTTCTACCTCTCTCTCTTTATTACTTTTGTCTTTTCTTTCTCGTTCTATGCATTAGATTTATATGGCATTATGGGTGCTGGCTACAGCGAAAAATAAAAATCGATCAAAATAGGCTAGACTTTGTACTGTCAGCAAATAGAATTTGAAGACTAAAGTGCACCGTTCTGTACATTAACATTATCGTGTATTTCTTTATATCTATGATTCATCGGAGATCTACTGAAAAAAGAAAAAAAAACTGTTGGTGAGACGTGTGCGAGCAAAGTCAAATGCGAAATAAAATAATGGTTGATGATGAGACTATATCTGGGTCATGTGAAGAGAAAAATCATTCTGCACAGCTGCGTCGGAGAAAAACGGAAGAAATGTCTATGCAATAAGTAGAAAAAAAAGAAGAAAAAGAACAACTCAACTTAGTCAGTTCTCGTATGATGCACGTTCATGTTCGTCGATTCTTTTTCAGACTTTGGCACACGCAAAGCAGGAGTAAAAAAATTTATTGGATCGCAACATCGAACGATAAGAACAAAAGAGAAGAAAGGGAACACTCATTGTTTCTCTGAACCTATTTTTAGTCTATATGTAGAACAACCAAGAAAAATAAACGCTATATAAACAAATTATTTTAACACGAACAAAAACGTGTCTCTACGCCGTGCTAATTTCCATCGATAAAAATTTATGCTAGCAGAAAAACAATACGATAAACGAGATGTCATTGAGTACTAGTCTTTTGTTTAGACCAAAAGACACTTTGCATGTGTCAAATTGTCTATAACTATCATCCAGGATAAGCATCGTGATAAGCGTAAATAAATCGATAGGATTATGTACGGTTGTGTAAAGTATAGATTACGATCGTAAAAGATCCTATTTGATCGAATTACTCGACTTTGAATCATGACTGTAACTTTTCGAGTCGTATAAAAAATGGATGCAACTGCAAGCGGTTTCATACGATACTGTGCGAAATTATGATCGCATCAACTTCTTTTTTTAGTCAAGAGAGAGAACAGTGTTGGTGTACGTCGTCCTCTCGCAGTGAGCGATATATTATTTCTTTAATTAAAAAATATACCTACTGTTTCAGACGTTCAATGTAAACTAAGTAAAAAGTAAAAACACAAAAAATAACTCTTATACAAATAAATATTTACTATTGAATAGATGGCTGAAACTATTCTGAATAGAAACAATAATTACTTACATATTAAATGTAAATGAATGTTGTTCAACATCGCTAATGAATGCTTCGGAAACTATTCATTTTAGATTTATTATTTTCTTTTTAACAATCAATCAATATTGTGTTTGCATATATTTTCTTGTAGGATTCTCGCTTGATAAGAAGAAAACACGTTCTAACGAGATCTATGTAGACTAAATGTTGATCGATGAAAAAAGAATCTTTTCACAGTAAGAATTTTTTTATTCTGAAATGCTTGCTTGCTGCTATTTGTTGCTTTTAAAATTGTTGGAGCGTTTAAACTTTGAGTTGAACTTCGTTCGAGCTCAAAAAGACAATTTTCTTTTGTACGGTTTCACTTTTAACAAAAAATGCAAAATAAAAGTAAGAAAAATGTCAAATCAAATTCCGAAATTCACTAAAAATTGGTGACTGCTTGCACTATTAACATTTCGAAAAGCTTGTACTTTATGCTTTAGTTCATTGAATCTTGTTTTTTTTTGGATCATAGCTGAATAGATAGGAAAACTAATGACATGATGTGAATTTTATTTTCGTCATCTTTTTTTTTCGACCCAGAATTATATGTCATGTATCAATGTTATTAAATATAAGATAGATTTCTGTTTTTATACCCTTTTTTCACTAGTAGGCATCATTTTATCTTTCTCACATTTATATTTATTCAGGCTGTAGGTTGATATTTAGTACAAGCAACGGTTTTTTTTTCGAAAAGCGAAGATGTTTACAAAGAAGCGAAGAAGGAAAAAAACAATTTAATTATTGATAGACCACCTATCATTCCGATGAAAACTATATGGCTTGCTGCTCATATTCATTAATTGGAATTGATTATTTCTAGTGTGTTCTTTGATAACCTCATTTTCAAATGTTCTAGAATAAATAAAATAGAATCAAGGCGATCAAAGATCTATGTGACTTGGTCATATAATGAAATATGATGTTTATCATAAATTACAAAAACTATGTGGATTTTAATTAGGAGTACTCAAATAAGGAATAGAAATTTATTAAGCTAAGTAGTACATGACTTTTGTGCATAGGTAAATTTATTGTAGCTGATCAACTAAGTTAAGTAGCGTGAGGCTGTAGCACGCATTCATAGATAGCGCATGACAGTTGCAAAGGAAGAGGATGCTGTTAATATTTTTCTTCAGAGAAAGATTTTACTTTAAATTTTGACTATGTAATAAGATAGAATTTAATGAAAAAGCTTTTCAGCGCAGCCCCGTTGGGGCTAAAATGTGGAACTCACATATTTCGGTCAGTTAGATACTGATCAAATAGAAGTTTTATTTTTTCAGTGTAGTAAGATCATATTTTGTTCAAAAATAAGATAATAAAACCTTTTTAACATTTGAAGTTTATTGAATCTATCAATAGGAAATATTACTAGAGAGAACCGTATGAAAAACGTTTTGTTTAAAATATGTCAGTATGCTGAAGTGTTTAGTGGTTTCATTGAGAAATATTGTGAATGATAATATAGTTTAAACAGTATTTATGATATAGCTATCAATATTGTTGAGAAATTTATATTTTTTCGCATTACCAGGTGAGAAATTGATACATTTTTTCATAAACGAAAACTTGATAAAAGCTTCCCAGTAGAAGGAAAAGTTCCGAATTATAAATACACTAAAGTGGACTCAAGCTCTAGAATAAGGTATTCATGTGTGAGAAAAAACAGATTAAAATCTTCATCTGTTTATTGTAGGTGATAGAAGTAACGAATGTAATAGTAGCATAAACTAGTTGCTAGCTTCTGTAGCGGTAGCATACGCTCGTTGCTAACGTCTGTAATAATAAAAATATATAATACTGTCGTAACTATGGGCTATAATAATAAAAATGACAGATTTTAATGATTAATCAGAGATTAAATCCTAATTATCTTGATTTCTAATTAGTGAAATTAGATTTTAACTACTGATGAGTAGCGGTGAATATAGGCAATCCATCTGTATAAAAATTTTATCTAATTAGTGCACCGAAGTGTTACTTTTTTTATGTTTTATGTCTATAATGTGGAGGGGGGGGGTGGGGTACAGGGGAGCCGCAAAATCTCACAATTAAACTTACACTCACTATTTTCTTCGAAAATATATGTGAGTTCCACAAAATGGTTTGTTACAAATAGTACTACTTTCTTCATAGTCTCTACTGAATAAATAAAGCATTTTTTTCTCTCTATACTATTATCAATTTCTTCCACTTTACTTATTTCTCGCTGTCTAAATCAATCTCACAAAAGATAATTATAGTCAAGCATGCAATGATTTTTAGTACGAAGCATTTCATTATAAAGTTATCAACGAAATCTTCTAGTATCCTTGTACGTGTTTGTTACAAATTATCAATAGCTTGCTGCTGATGATTATGAATAGTTTAATAGCTCATAGCCGACTAGTCAAACGTGTTGTATTGTATAGAGAAAAAAATAGTTAGCCTCATAATTAATAATTTTGTCGAGTCCATTTTATGAAAGCGACAGTAATTCTTGTATTTTACCACAGTGAATTGGCGTCTTTTAGAAATTAAACATAGATGGAAGTAAATCTATAGCACAAGAAAGCTACATACAAAAAAACCTATCTATGATGAAACGGATGTTCTACTGTTAGTTTACTGCGTAGCTTTTGACGTCAGACATGAAAGCGTTGACTCTCTTTGACTTGTTCTCAGCACACTAAAACATATACATCTATATAAACGAATTATAAATGAAGATGACAGAAATCAATTATCAATACTAATTTTCAAAATCTATTCAAGTTCATATATTGTTGAAAGCACGGATATCGGTTTATGTAATAACCTAGTATCAAAACTTTGACAAATCAATTATTTTCAACCCATTGGAAGCTTTCGTGTGCATATGTTGTTTTGATAAAATAAATGTTTTTCGAAAGTTTTTCATAGTTTAAACTGTTATCTTAATAGTTCTTAAATTCATGGGCCATCAAATCAATATGTTTTCATAGCTAGAAATAATACGATGCTTACAATTAACAGCGCAAAGAATAGAATTTTATATTATCAGGAGAAGATCATATCAGTGGGAAAAGAAGGATAATGCCTATCCGAATAAGAATCTTCAAAGAATTTCGTATTATTACTGTGTGCATATGATGATACCAATGTATTAATTTATTAAAAGATTCTAGTAGGAATATTTCTTTCTCGCGATTTGAACAATTCCATAGTACAAAATGTTTTATGAACAGTTGGGAGAAAATGAGACTAACATCCTCTCGAGTACAGCTGAAGTATGTAATTCTTAAGTCTCACTTTTTTTTCGCTTCGTCATAGAATACCGTTAATTCAACTCTATTTTCCTACTAAATTTGATCAAATGAACAATCCATGGCAAAATATATAAATATAAATGTGAAAAATCTGATTGATTAAATTATTGTAAAAAGTGAAAGGAAAATTTTTCTATATCTTAGTGAATGGTTAAGGTTTCATAAGCATTACTAATAGTAGATACATTCATCTATTGTGAATTCTGACATAAAAATTATTTCATATAAATCAGTAAAAGTTTATTTTTTTCAAAAAAACACAATTGAATTGCAAATTCATTTTCTTGTTTTTGTTGACATGATATTTCAAAAGTTTTGTTTCTCTTATGAACTTCTTCAAAATCGTTTTATTTTTGCTCTAAACTGCAACAAAAGAGTATCTAGTGATAAAACAGATAGATTCAAGAAAATTTATTTCTGTTGTTGTTGTTGTTGTTGCTGTTGTTGAAGATGCATTTGAATAATACCATTAATTTGTTGTCTTGTTAATAATTTATCATATAAGACTTTTTGCAATTTATCAATTTCAACTTGAATGTAATCATGTTTACGTTTAAAGTAATCTTGGGCTTTTTTTGGACGCATTTCAATAAAAAAACCTGTACCAACATCAACTAAAACATGCTCAGGGTCGGATAAACGACCAGGAACATACATCGATGATGAAAGTGGGACAAGTAATGAATTATCCTGATTATTTGTTGGTAAACGTTGTACAGCTACCATTGATTCACCAAAACCTTCTTGAGCATATTGGAGACGTTGTATCGATGATTGTAACATTTCAATATCGGATTGTAATTGAGTTCGTACTTGTTCAATTTGTGCCATGCTTAAACCAGCAGGCTGTTGATCGCCGGCAACTGATGCTGACATGATGAGATCTAGAAGGAAAAACTTGTATGTATGTTGTCAAGACATATCCTACTTACTTCTTACTCTCTTTTCTTTTCTCCTCTTTATTTATTGAATGGGCAATCAAAAACAACCAATTCAATTGAAGACCGTAGATCTTTTTGTAGCATACTGTATTTTAGTGACCCCTGTCTGAATTTCAATAATACAAATCAGAATCTGAAAATAGGCAAATTCTTTCTTTACTATCCGAAAAAGATAGTTTGAGTTTAATTTCTTAATCGAATTAAAAGTAATCAAAAGTACATTGAGGAATTACGTGCATAATTTTCTAGAGATTAACTATTCATTACACTCTTTTTAATTTACATGAAAACTTGTCAACTCTTTTCATGCATGAAGTCACTTGTTTTATGGAAGATAAGTAGTATTTTCTAACATCCGAATAAAACAGTGAAGGAAAAGAAAACTTGATATATTGTCTTCATTGGATTGGATTGATGATTTCAAATGAACGAATGCGTTCATGCATTGCATCATTGATTTGAATAGAAGGAAAAAAATATTCATAGCAGCGAGTAGTTTCGATCTACCGACCTCTGAGTTATGAGCCCAGCACGCTTCCACTGCGCCACGCTGCTGATGTTACTTTGTCTCACTTGAATAGTTTTATACCTTAACCGAAATTCGAAAGCATCTAGTATGTACTTTTTCGCATTAATTTTACACGATAGGAAAAACAAATATATTTTACTCATATATTTTATTTTATGAAGCTTATTTAAGAAAAAAAAAGTTTTTTTTTGTATTCTTGCACTTCTTCATTTCATTCTATAATAATGATGAAATTCGTTGAGAACTCTTTTAAAGATTAAAAAAAAATTCTCCGCGGCGGGGAATCGAACCCCGGTTTCCCGCGTGACAGGCGGGGATACTAACCACTATACTACCGCGGATGATTCTCCCCTTTCACATTCATCACGACAACAATGAACAAGAATTGATGCCGTCTGCCTTAACCAATTTGTTGAATAGAACCTCTTATTCTTTTGTATTTTAAACGCATTGAATTTGTTTTCAAAAGATTTTTTTCCTTCTAAATCTCTACAGCATTTCGATCTCTCGTACAAACATAAAATTGCAAGGTAGAATAAAATGAGACTTTTTTGAACCTAGTCTGCATGTACATCCTTTTTGGTTCATTTCAATAAAAGCAAAATATTAATTTACTTTTGTTTATCTTTTATCACGTATAACATAAACTTTTATTTATTTTGTATCGATTTATAATTCTGTCTAATCTTTCCATACGTGATACATTGAACGTATCATGTATTTCATTGTTTTCTTTGTGTTGTTGTTGTTGTTGCTGTTGTTATGTACCTCTTAGTTTCTTTCCAATAAAATAGAGTCAGGCTGATGAAAAGTTTCGAAATATTATTAATCATTGCGATGATCATTAATAACATCTATCAAAATATTTTAATATGACGAGAGAAACTAACATCATAAAAATATGCACCAATGCTTTTCTATAGTAAAATATCATCAAAGTTAACTTTCAGAATGAACATGAAAAGCCACATATAATTTTATGCGTATCTTTTCATGAACACTTATTCATATAATAGATCAATTGTTATTATAGAAGTATTTATTAATTACGTGTTTGATTGATATTTCATTTCCTATTCAATAGATATTAAATTATAATACAATCGAAGTGGTTTCGAATTCGAAGAGATACGACAAAGCGTATTTATTGAAAAATCCCAGTACTATCCTAAAGAAGAAATTATATATTGATGTCTGAGGTGTTTTTTACTATGACAAGAGATGAACTGATCTGTATTCTAGTGGTTATTGAGAAATGAAAAAAAGAAAAGAACTATTATTTTTCTTTCTGTTGTAAAATATTATGGCCATCATTCTGTTCATTTTTTTCTCTCTTCTACACGGTCAACGTACAGTGTATTTCAATTGTAACTCTCTCGTTTTATCGTCTTCGCAAATATTAACTATATATTTAAATGACTTAAAAAGAACACTTCTCTAAGCTATGGTTCTATGTGTCTATCTACCTGTTAGTTTCTCCATTCTTTTTTTTCTCATTACTCTATACATCAATTCATTTGTTCAAGTATGGGCTGACCGAAATGTTCCCTATTGGTTACCAACATTACCCGATATTGGTCATAACTTACTACCTTATTGTACATATTTTCAAATAAATAATTATTATATTTCAATCGCATTTATCTTAGTTATTATTCGTTATATATTTCAACGTGATATACGTTTAATTGTATTTCGTCGATGGTTCTTTCTTCAAGCTGTTATGTATGTCATGCGAACTATATCTATTTATGTTACTTCGCTGAGTGTTCCATTACCTAGTTGTAATACAACAGCTGTGGGTTCACCATCAATCGAAGCATTTTATATCATGTTTTTTATGCATACTACATGTGGTGATGTTCTCTTTTCTGGTCATACGATTACTTGTAAGTAATTAGGAATTTTGTAAAATTTTATTCAACAATCTATTTTCAGTAACATTATGCGCTCTTGCTTGGACAACATATTCAAAAGGTGAAGAACATTATCCAATACGTTGGTTATGGTATCGATTAAGAGGTATGAATCAAAAAATTGTTTCCAATGGATCTAGTTGGTTTTACCCAAAATTAGATTCAACAGGTGATCCATTATCATTTTATATAACAACATTATTGGTTTGGATGTTTACAATAATTGGCTATTTATTTATCATTGCAACTCGTTTTCATTATACGGTTGATGTTTTTCTTGGTTTTCTTCTTGCAAATTTAACATGGCAAATATATCACTATTATATAAAAAATTTAGCTGAACGAAGATCTATTATAATAACAAGATTTTTCCTTTGGTTTGAAGATTATGAAAAACTACAACAACAGCTTGTACACATGAAAAAACCGTATAATGTCACTCGATCAAATGATGTAAATACTATTTGATGAGTTTCATTTTCTTTTTTTTTCTTTTTTTTTTATATTTTGCTGACACTGTGATCGAATTGATCCTTGCAGTACAATTTTATTTTATTTTGCCTGTCGCTTGCATAGAATAAAAGTGATGGTTCTTTTTTCGTTTTGTTTACTTTACTGAAATAAAGAATATCTAAAATGTGAACATCAAAATATTAAGTTTGCTTTTAAATCAACTTCTAACGAAAAAAACTATTTGATATTACTATGCAGCGCACATCACAGATCGCCAATTATCATACTTGATTCTACTCAACTGAATTTTCAGAAACCAACATTATTTTACTAAATGATCAATCATTTGTTAAAACAAAAGAATTTGATTTTTGATAATTTTAATTACTTATACTAATCAATCGACATAGTAGATTATGATTCAATATATCACCATTAATTATGCATGAACAGAAACAATAATAAAAATAAATATAATATAAAGATAGACACAACATGAATTGTAGTTAGCCCCATCTACCAGCTAACTAATTTTCATTAGTCGCCGACGGAGGCGAAATCAAATCCACATTATCCATTTTCATTGCAAATTGCAAATTGCAATATTCAGTTCAGTGTTTCCTATAGCAAGTGCACCAAACAGAAGGAAAATGTACAGAACATCTGCTACTTTTGATTTATACTCTGTCGTACACTTGCTCAGAAAAGCAAATTGTTCAATGTACACTTTGTCAAAACAGGTTACACTTTGATTTCTTCGATCTCTGAACCTGAAAAGCTGCATATAGTATTAAATATCTTATATTTTGTCTTTTAGATTGTAAAAATTTGGTTTTTCTACACTTTGTTCACAAAATACAGAGTGTACTGTACATTTTGTTTTAGAATTCAATTGGAAACACTGATTCAGTCAGTCACACTGTACAATCAAGATTGTTCTAATATAGATTCAAGAAATTTTATTTTCTACGTATGTTTTAGATGATTACAACCGTTGAGAACAAAAAGCGTAAGCTTTCAAAAAAATCTGATGAATCTACTCAGAAAAAGAAGAAAGTCCATTTTTCATTTGATCAAAGCGAAAATGAAATACCGAAAAAGGTAACATGAATAGTTTTTATATTTTTATTAAGAAAAATAAATTCTTTTAAGATGGACTTTGATACGCTATCTTCGTCTCTTAAATCTCGTGCCAGTGAAAAATTAGCACAAGTTGCTGTTGCTAAACGCCAAGCACGAGATAAAACGGATCCAACCATTTTATCAAATGTTAAGCTTATTAAAAAACAATTAAAATCGAAACAAAAACAAATGGAACATAAGAAAAAGAAAAAGCATATTAACATTGTTCAAGATAAAGAAAATACAACATTTCGACAACGTTTAAAAGAACGACAAAAATTACGTCGTGGTGTTCTTTATGATATGGCCGATAAATCGAAAAAAATTTGGGAAATTTTACGTCGTGATGAAACAACAAATGAAGTACGAGTTAAATTGTGTGGAGAATTAATGAAACTAATCGAAGGAAATGTGAAATTTTTATCTATGGCACATGATACAACACGTGTACTCGAATGTCTGATTCAATTTGGCAATGAACAACAAAAACATTATATTTTTGAACAAGTTCAAAGTAACGAGAATTAAAATTCTATGCTTCATATTTAGTATTAAATATTCCAGAGGATTTGCCAACAATGTCAAAATCACTTTATGCTCATCATGTTGTTATGAAGTTTTTAAATTATGGGTAAATATAGAAATATTGTAATTTTCTAGTTAAAATGCATATAGGAGAAATTCTAACAAAGGCAACACTTTGCATATAGCTATATTGATGTGATAGTTACTGAAAATGGATGGCTTTTGTAATTTTACGCGAACAATAGCTTTGAACTTATACGAACTAATTTCAAGTTTAAGCTTTATTCGTAGATAGTCTTTATTTTTACTACGAATGCATTGTTGCCGAACTATTTAAATTTTAGACAGACTCATATTTTGAACTATGCTATCAAAGAAAGTCATTTTTATTAAATCACTATAGTATATTCCCCATATCGAGTCTATGTATCGATATTATTGCTACTAGAAATGTATCCATTGAAATTTTTAGTGATTTCATGTTCAGATAGTTAAAAAAAAACAGTATAAAAAGCATATTGGTCGACAATTACTGTTCGGGTGGCCACAAATATGGCTGTCTACCCAAGAATCAATGATATTTTACACTAAAACAAGATTCGATTATTAAAGAAAGATAGCTGACGGATACCACCTCCAAACAAAAAACTTTGCATAACTGTAAATTTCAATACATTTTCTTTTTCATAGAACGGACAATCAAAAAAGTTTAATTAAGAAAAGTCTACATGGTCATGTTTGCAAATTAGCTAGACATTCAGTAAGTCATTAAATAAATTACCGTTGATTTACTTAAATCATTTTAATAATATAGATTGGTTGTCGTGTATTGGAATATTGTTACAATGATTTGTGTAATTCAGCAGAACGATTTCAACTTGTTCAAGAATTTTACGGCCGAGAATATGCGATTCTTAAAGTATGATTTTTTTTAAAATTTTATCTCTACTATTAACTTCTTTTTTTTTATAGACAACCGATGTAAAAAATATTGAAGAATTATTGGCAACTAAAGCAGCTACTGGTCAACGAGCAAATGTCCTCGAATATATGCAGGAAAATCTTATGGCTTGTATTCAAAAGTAAATATTTTATTACTCAATTTGAAGATTAATCTGTTTATTCTGTTGTTGTATAGAGATCTATTGAGTACATCGATTGTTCATCGTGCTATGCATGAATATATACGTAATGCTGATGAAAAAGGCCGAACAGTAAATATTGGAAAAAAATTAGAATTAACTCAGTTTAATAAATTTGTTTTTTCAAATTAGGAATTAGTCGATGCGGTCAAAGAAAAATTAATAAAAATGGTTCATAGTCGTGACGGAGCTCGTGTTGCTATTTTTTGTCTGTGGTATGGAACAAATAAAGTACGTCATTGTTTTGTGTCTCGTAAAATTATATGATTATTTTTATTCTCAAGGATCGTAAAGCTTTAATAAAAAGTCTCAAATCATTCGTGGTTAAAATTGCTAAAGAAGAACAAGGTTATCCTATACTATGGACCATATTTGATATAGTTGATGATACAAAACTTGTTTCCAAAATTATTTTACAGGTACGAACGATTAAAAAAATTGCCCATATTAAAAGTAATTTATATCTATTAAAATTTCCTAAGACTATTCTAAACTTTAATTTTACGATACACTTTGATTTATATTTCAATTCTTTCCCATAGTATACTCATAGTAGATTTTTAAAAAAAGATATAGAAATCTCTGCATTGTTTCTGATTACAAAAGAATGGAAATCACCGTAGCCTAATTTCTGTGTTCAGAAGTATTCTTCGCTATAGGATGATATTTTTTGATGAGCTTTAACAAAGTCGAGCTATTTCTGAGTTATCGTTCAAAACCTTTTAGTAGTAATCAAATAAAAAATGAAATATTCAGGAAATTGAATCTAACAGATAAATAAATGTGTTTTAGCTAAATTTGAAGAAAGAAATTGTTAGAAACCTTTATTCTATGAAAAAATAATTCTATTTCTAGGAATTGATGTCTAATTTCGATGATATAATTAACGATTCACATGGTAAAAAAGTATTGATGTATTTGATTGCACCACGTAATACTAAACATTTACAGTATGACCTTGTTCAATTGATGAAAACAAGTGACGCATTGAATACAAGGTAAAATTTCTTTTTAAAAATTATCATTAAAATCTATATTGATGAATTTTTATTATTAGTAAAAAAGATCCCGAAATTCGACAACGTGAATTGTTTGAATATTGCAAATCTTACTTTTTGGAATATTTTACATCAAATACTCTTGCAACATTAAAAGATGGTTTTCAAGGTTTTATGATGACTGAAATGATTGAAAGACTTTCACGTAAGATTTTGCTTTTTTTGTTATGAATTTTGCTTTTAAAAATTTACTCTGCTTTTTCAGCTGAAGATAATCTATCGTCATTTTATACATCAATAAGTACACTATTGGATAATGCAACTGTTGAGCCGCAAGCAGAAACAAATCTTATTGAAAATCAAATTACTCATAATGTTTTACGACATTTAATTATAGCCGATGGAAAACGACAGAAAAAACAAAAGCATAATCAGAGTAAGACTTTGTTATTCTGCAAACCTTTTTTTATTCATATTCATTTTTTATTGGTTTTAGCACTTGTATCAACATTATTGTCAACAATTTCACCTGATACATTACGTACATGGATACTATGTAATCGTGGTTGTTTCATTTTTGTCATGTAAAAATTAAAAAAGAATTGCAATGAAATAGATATTTTACTCTTCGATTATATTTAGGATGCTTGAACACGGTCAATCTGATGAATGTAAGCAAATTCGGTCACTTCTAGTACCGTCTGCTATGGATACACTCAAACGGCAATCATTTGCTGGAGCTAAAGTCCTTGTTGAAAAGTTGTTATCTTCTTCTTGAAGAATAAATGTCTTTCTAACACGTTGGATTAGAATACAGAAATAATTTAATTTTCTTTTTTTTCTGATAGTACACTGAATTTAATTATCTACAACAGCTATCAAATCTAGCGAAGTTATTAAAATAGCAAATCGATTGTTATGAAAACGAATGTTGTGCCATATATCTTTCGTAGCATGAATGATGTTAACATTGAATGTTGTTGAAATAGATTCAACTCTATCATTTAAACGAACAGAAACTTTAGTAGTAGATGAGTTCATGAGAAAATACTGTGTATTATACAAGTTGACTAAGTAAACATTGAAATTATTTATACAATCTAAATAATAATTTGATAGGAGGAGAAATCCAGTTTAGACTAATTTTCACTTTTATACAAACAAAAAATAGGTTGTAAATTTTTAAAACGAGGATAACTAGTCATAGTAGCAATGCCACATTGATTGTTCTTATTTCGACTCATCCAGATGTAACCATCAATACCCCATGATGTTTCCCAAGAATTTTTCACAATATAATAAAGTTCACTATCGGTTGCATTGAAATCAGCAGCTAAAGCACAACGATTAACTGCTGTTGATGAATAATCTGGTTCATCATAAACACCTGATCAATAGAATTGGGATGGCGAATGTGAAGTATCGATGGTAACAGCAATTGGACCAAACTGCAGCTTAACAATGATGTACAATGCTTTATTTACTTTTCATAATAGCTAATATCAATATGATCATCCTCCTTGTCATTAATATAAACTATAGGTGTTTGATATTTTAATTAATTTTTATTCGAGTAAGAAAAACACTTGATTTTCTCTGTTTGTTTACAAGAAAAATATTTATTATTCATGTGAATATTAACCCTGCATAGGTTCAACGAGAGCCTACATATTGTCTTAATAAAGTTGATTGCAAAAGTATTATCATTCCAAGATCATTAAAAACTATCGATACATTAGAACTGTTTTGTTGTGTCGTCCCATAATTCAATAACCACACATCTTCATCCGATCAATTGTCGTTCAAAGCCGTTCTATCATTGAAACATAGAATTTTAACGGGAAATCAAAATTCTATTCCAAACATGCATCCTTTCGCTGAATTGATCAAACGTGGAGCTAATATTCGACCAAAAACAATTCTCAAACGGCAAGCATAAGTTGATCCGGATTCACTAGTTGCTATCTTTTACAAATCTGGCATAGCTGGTCAACCGAAAGCAGCAACATTGATTAACTTTGGAATGCTCAATTTACTTCATGGTCAGTTGGAAAATATTGGTCAATTTCTCATTCGAGTCTCTGTGCCGATTTCAATATTTCATATTTCTGCAGAAATGGTCGGCGTACTAAATGTAGTCTTTCAAAAATGTCAAGCTGTATCTTCAACAATATTACCCGATACGGTATCAACAATGGGAGCTATTCGCGAAGAAAAGCGTACGGCACTTATTGATCTACCGACTATTTTTCGAGATATTTTAACTCATCTAGAGAAGAAGAATTACGACTTGAGTTCATTAGCTCTTGGTGTGCTCGGAGCAAGGCCCATGCAACGAGAATTTTGACGTCGATTGGAAGTAGAATTATCAATGACTCGTGTTACGCAAGGCGATGGAATGACAGAGAATGCTACTCTCTTTGCAAGTGCATATTGGGCTGGTGATGCAGATCAACAACAAAGTTATCCATCAATGGGTCTATGTATGCAACGTTTGGAAGTAAAAATAGTCGACAAAAAAGAAAATGCCGTTGCGATTGGACACAATAAGGAGAAATTTGAACTAGAGACTTTTCAATCATGAAAGGTTACTATAATGATTCAGAAGAGGAGCCGAGAAACAATTACATCGCCAGGTTGGCTCAAAACAGGTGATGAAGGAAGAATGAACGAAAAAGAATTCCTCTACTACAATCAGTTGCCAAACATAGATTGTTATACGAGGTGTTGTAAATATCTATTCAGCTGAAATTGAGAATGTTATTATTGAGCATCCCGAGCGTATTTGATGCTCAAGTATTTGGTATTCCTGATGAACGATATGGTGAAGAAGTATGCGCCTGGATTACATTAAAGCCGGATACATCAACATGTACTACTGATGAAATTGCCTAATTTCTTAAGAATAAACTTGTTTTTTTCAAAATCCCAAAACATATTCGCATTATCGATAAATTTATTATGACACCAAATGAAAAAATGCAAAAATTTAAATTATCTGAATCAATGGCGAACGAATTTAAGCAGACAAGTAAAATACAATAATTTTTTTCATAATAATAATAATAATAATAATTTGTGAATTGACTCTAAAGTATTCTCGATATTAATACCAAACTATTTAAATTTAAAACGTGGGCGATCATATTTCAATATTCAGAAAAGATTATTCATCTCAATGATTTAACCCCTCTCTAGTACCCATTAGTGAAATATTTGTTTTCAGTATTGTTATATCCATTTCACATATGATAACCACGAAATCTAGAAACTTTCCATAAATGCCACTACTTTACTTAACGTAAGTAATATTTAAATATTTTATATTGATGTCTAATAAATCGATTGACAAGAATGTTTTTGCGTTATTCCTTTCTTTAGTTGCTTTTTACTCTTTGTTCGCATAATATTCTTTCGTAAAACAGGAAAAAAGCTATTATCTTATCTTATCTGTTACTGTTACAAATGTCTTACTTTTCTAAGAAACATTACAGTTGTGTTCTTTCTTTCGACCGAAGGTTTTCAAGATAATATTTTGCAATGAGTGTTAGTACACTGCTGAGAAATCAGAATTCTTCATCGGCAAATGAACTATCAACATCGATATGATTAGTCGTCGGGAGAGAGAGAGAGAGAGAGAGAGAGAAATGGAAGTAGAGATTCCTATTTTTTGACAGTCAAAACTATGATTTTTCTATGATAGTTTATACCTGCAGACATTCGTGCTCAAGCAATATTCAGTAAACAATTTAATAGTTGCTTGCTGTTTATTGATTTTATTTTCACAAAAAGGCATAAATATTTAACATTGTCAATAGCTGTAATGAAATACGAGTCCAAAAATAAATCCTATTTAAAAATGTAACAAACAGAATATCGATCGATTTTTAGATTTAAATTAATAATTTGTTTTTCAGCTTAACGACAACTTTTAATGCGTATAGTGTTTCGTCTTGTATCATGTTTATTGAAAAAAGACAAAACAACTATTCTACAATTTTAACTGTGAGTATTTTTAACGATGCATACTACATCTCTTTCAATAGAATAGTAAAAATGTATGATTACTATCGTATTCAATTTTATTAACAATATAGATAGGCAGCGTGGCCGAGCGGTCTAAGGCGCCGGTTTAAGGCACCGGTCCGAAAGGGCGTGAGTTCGAATCTCACCGCTGTCACTATTTTTTTCCTAATTAATAGTCATTTTTACTAAAAATACTTAATCAAGTTCTTGCTTCAGTACGCTGTTGATCTCGTCTTCGTACTTATTTCAATACACTTCATTTGAAGATATTTTTCAATGAATTTACGTTTGTTATAGTATCCAATAGAACAAGAAATAACTATCTCAATCGATAAAATATTATTAAAACAACACTGACTAAACAGGTGTATTAAGGACACATAAGTTGGTAGTCAGTGATTAGTTCAAATTTTTGAAACAACAAGGAAAACAACCGAACAATCTCTCATAATTTTTTGTTTGTCGCAGAAGTTTATTCTTAATTTGATATTTCTTATCTCTTTACTTAAGATAATCATTTGAAAAAAGGCCAATATCCGTATAGGTTTAGATATTCTCGTTATAATTAGTAATCGATCAAAAGTTCTTTTAAATACCGTTCACAACCGTGAAATTTACAAAACTATATCCATCTGTCGTAAAAATACTATCTCTGCTTAACAGATATTATTCTCATGTTTTTCATACTCTATTCTACTAGCAGCATATCTTTGAGTTATTAGAAATTCATTAAACTACTCTAAATCAATTGATTTTATACTGCAATAAAAAAAAATGAAGTTGTTTCTAAAAGTATTCGACAAATGCATTCAATAAATGTTTTGAAATACAATACTTACTATCTATAAATTACTGTTCAAAGCTATGATATCAGAGAAACAAACGCTTAATTAACTCAATTTTATGAAATTTTGTTGGGTAAAATCAAGGTATTTCATATACCCAAAGTCGAACTTTAAAAACAGATCAGATCAATATTTAGAATTCACAATATTTTACTAGCTAAAGTCAAAATAGGCAGCGTGGCCGAGCGGTCTAAGGCGCCGGTTTAAGGCACCGGTCCGAAAGGGCGTGAGTTCGAATCTCACCGCTGTCACTATTTTTTTTTGTTTCGTATCATCCTATAAAAATCTATCATATGAGTTTTCTTATTCCTTTTGTACAAACGAAATGCTTTCAATACAACCTATATCCAATCGTATGGAATTTTAAAAATTACATTTTATTTAAGATGTATTTTATTTTATTTATAATTGATATATAGATGGAGTTTTTAATATTTCTACAGAGTCTCAATTGTAGTATGGTGAAAGATATAACACAAGACAAGACAAAACAAGACATAGAATGGAATGGAAGTGGTTAAACAGCGAAAGGAAAATCGTTGATCACATCACAGAGGCTCTCCAACCAAAAACTTCAGGAGTGCCTCTTTCCGATATATTATCTTCGATAGAGATATCCGATAGGCTTTAAATAACAACAAAATAGAATATAGCCTACCTATATTTCTTTGTATGGCGTATTAACCAATTTATCAGAATGGGCAATTAAAATGCTGATTGGTTGTCACTTGATGCTGTATATTCCAATAAATCTTCGTCCATGTTTTATCATTACTTCTTCGACTTGTCATTGTCATAGCAGTGCTATGATAGCAATTTAACTTCAATCATGCTTCTAAGATTTATGACTTTAATTCAAACATTCATTTTTAAGCATTATATTATTTCTACGACCTATTTTCTTAAATTATTTCTAAAAATCTAGATTCTCATTAACTGTTATCGCTAATTTTTCAATATTTAATAATTCATACAGTGTATGCTAGATGAAGTATATGCCTTCTCTACATAATTATTACATAGCGGCTTATAAGAAACTATTGGGATGCATTTCAATAGTATGCAATATATTCTATCATTACGAGAAACTATCGATACTTATTGTTTTAGCTGGATTTATTAATTATGACGATATTTAAGCAAATTCACAACATCCCCTTCTTTGCATCGTGGAATCATACGAGAATTTTGAAAGATTCCATAAAATACAGCCCCAAAAAAATGATTGATGATTGTTGGCTAACAAGATCATCAAAACTATAAATTATTTGCTGATGAATAACAGCAGTAGCCATATTTTCGTGTTTAATTGACAACATTTGGTAGAGCACTGAGATCCGAATCCATGCCGGAAATACAAAATCTTTTGAAACAGCTTCCAATGTGTGCTGACTATCATTGATTAGCTAGCAGTACCAATTCTGTGTGTTGACTCATTCAAAGATAGAAAGCGCTTAAGTTATCCTATAGTCAATTCTCTTTTGTTCAGGGAACTTTTAAATATCGGATGGGTAATAAAAGTATGTTATTCGTTTTTTCCAGAAATCCATAACTTGTTGTTGAATTTTTATCAGTCGAGGTCAATTTTGTCTAACAACACCGTTTTTGAAAACAAATACCATTACCCAGGTCGAACATTCCAGTTCCGGAAACGGCCGGTTCTGTTGTATTCCGGAGATTTCATGGAAGAATTATTCCGGAACAGATTTTCCCACCATCTTTCCACTCATATCCCAACGGAAACACCGGGAAAATTTCAGGAAAAACTCCGGGCGGTTCCTTTTGTGATCCATATACACGTCGTAGGAACGGAAACAATTGGAAACGAGTGGATCTTCGACGGAATTTTTACGCCGCTTTCCGTACGAGTATCTCCGACGTTTCCAACATATTTCCCGAGAATTCCAAAACCGGAAAGACATCTATGTCAACCGTATCGGTATCCAAACCGCTTCCTCAATCATATTCCAAGCCGATCTCCCACCTCAAACAGTTCGGACACATACCGATACCAACAAGTAGTTGCGCTACACTCTAATGTTATTAACCTTTGACCAAATCACACCAGCCACTCACTACGTCATATCCCTACGAGTGTATCGAGCTGGCCAGAAACTGCTGCAAACAGAAATTCAAAATTTGAAAAGTTAGATTTGTTATTTCAACGTCAGCTAAGTTCTGATGACATTTTGTAATAGGTTATTGAGGTCCAGCAACCCGAATATGTAGTTAGTTTTTCGAGGCGGGCTTCCATTAGTCAGAAAATAGGTCCATCCTAGAGTCAAAAGCTGTAAAGGTAGATTTTTTACTTCAACACCCAGCTAAATTCTGAGGTAAGTTTGTGATAGGTTATCGAGGTCGACGAATGCGAATCCGACATCATCGATTGCGCCCTGGCATCCGACAGTTGGATGATGGTTGTTATCAATCGGTTTTCTGCTGTATGATTGCATTGGATTTCGATCCTGGGGTGCCAATTCTGCTTCCAATCAGATCCTATTGTGTGATTGATCGGCCCGGGGTAGTGAATATAGTGTTAACGACCGTTTACGGTTACGGTTACGGTAATCTTCCTACTGGGCGTGATGCCGCTTAGGTATGCTGTAGTTTTTGACGGTGTCAGACCGGATACAGAAAGTTTCGTTAAATAGTCCGTCGCGGATATGGTAGTTTCCTGAAGGAGTTCATTGCGTATGTGATAGTTTCCGGGTGGATCCGGTTAAGTGGATTTTGTTGGAAAGTTATGGATTCGGTACGGTGATTTCCGGTCCGGAATCCTGCTTCCATTTGCCGGGTGTTCTCCGGGCGGTTCTGGAGGGAAACACTCTGTATTTTAGTGGAACTAGCCGGGAAAAGACCGTTTCCTTTTGTTTCCTGCAGGATACGGACCCCGGAATCATCGTCCTGGGTATTCATTTTCAGTCTTTATTTTCATGTATACACTTTGAGGAGATTGAAAGAGTAGTTTGAATGCATTCCTGCAGTCCCTCATGAATTATCTTGGATTTGCTATCTTTTTTTTGC